TATTGAGTTCTATAGTTTCTCTGTTCAGTTTTTGTTTGGAAGATCTATCAGTGGTGAAAGAGGTGTGTTAAAGTCACTCAAAATCATTGTGTTGTGTTGTGGTCAATTTGACTCTTGAATTTGAAAGGAGTTTGTTTGATGAACATAGATGCTCCATTGTTTGGGGCATATATATTTATATTTGTTATATCTTGTGGGTGTGTGGTTCCCTTGAGCGGTATAAAATGTCCTTTATCCCTTTTGATTCACTGTAACTTACAGTCTACTCTATTTGATATGAGAATGAAAACCCCTGCTTGCTTCCGCAGTCCACGTGAGTGGTATGATTTTTCCCAACCTTTCACCTTCAGTCTGTGGATGTCTTTTCCTATGAGATGAGTCTCTTGGAGGCAGCATATTGTTGGACCTTTTTTTAAAAAAAATCTAATCAGCTAGCCTATGTCTTTTGATTGATGAGTTTAGGCCATTAACATTCAGGGTTATTATTGAGACATGATTTGTATTCCCAGCCATTTTTGTTTATTTTTGTTATTTAACTTGACTTTGTTTCTCCTTTGATTAGTTTGTCCTTTAGTGTAATACCTCCCTCTGCTGATTTTCATTGTTGTTTTCATTTCCTCTTCATAGAATATTTTGCCAAGGATGTTCTGTAATGCAGGTTTTCTAGCTGTAAATTCTTTTTAACTTTTGTTCATCATGGAAGGTTTTTATTTCATCATCCAATCTAAAGCTTAATTTTGCTGGATACAAGATTCTTGGTTGGCATCCATTTTCTTTCAAAACTTGATATGTGTTGTTCCAGGATCTTCTTTTCAGGATCTGGTTGAAAAATCTGTACATAACCTAATTGGTCCCCCCTATATGTAATCTGATTCACTTCTCTCACGGCTTTTAATATTCTCTCCTTATTCTGTATGTTAGGAACTTTAATTATAATATGCCTTGATGTAGATTTGTTGTGATTTTGTATGTTTAGCACACTGTAAGCCTCTTGTATTTGGTTTTCCAATTCATTCTTCATGTTTGGAAATTTTTCTGATATTATTTCATTGAATAGATTGTTCATTCCTTTGATTTGGAATTCTATGCCTTCCTCTACCCCCAATAACTCTGAAATTTGGTACTTTCATGTTATCCCATAATTCTTAAATGTTCTGCTCATGGTTTCTTACTACTTTCACTGTGTGGTCCACATTCTTTTCAAGATTATACATTTTGTCTTCATTGTCTGAGGTCCTGTCTTCTAAGTGCTCTAATCTGCTGGTGATGCTTTTAATTAAACTTTTAATTTGGTTTATTGTTTCTTTCATTTCAAGGATTTCTGTTTGGTTTTTCCTTAGAACCTCTATCTCCTTATTGAAGTAATCTTTTTCCTGTATTTGCCTGTGTAGCTCTTTGTCAAATGACTTTTTGCTGCCTGTATTTGCTCTCTTATTTCATCCTTTAATTCACAGAACATTTTAATTATGTACATCACCAATTATTTCTCTGTCATTCCTTCTGCTGTGCTGGCCATGAATTCTAATACTGTGGTATCTTGATTTGTTTGAGCCACTTTCATCCCTTGTCTTTTCATGTTACTCGTGTGTCTTCCCTTCTAGCACTGTGGATCTGAGGCATTACCGTTTTTACCCAATAGGCTTATAGTTCCTCTGTTGGGTTCCAATACCTCTCCTTTGAGGGGTAGGACAATGTTAGCAAGTCCCAATATAAACAATATACCACCTAAAAACAAATAGTTGCTAATAAGCATTTAGGGTTTTGTCATAATATTCAGAAATGGTAAATTCAATTATTATCTATAATATAATCAGTAGGTTTGTAAAAGCATTTACAGTTTCTGATGGTGGACAAAGATCCAGGTGTGAGGTGTAGGAAGATATGCTGAGGAGGTAGGAGGTGAGGATATAGAGTTATTATATCATAGGAAGTGTGAAAGAGAAATCTAAAGAAGAAGATTAGTAGCAGGTGAGTAGAGAGGAAATTTGGGGTAGACAAGTAAGTGGGAATATAGTAGAGTACATAAAACAAACATATATATTAAGAAAAATAAAAATTTTAAAATAGTAAAAATTGGAGGAAAAAAATAAAAGAATATATAACACAACTGTAATATACTATTCAGTCATCTCAGTCCTCAATACCCTATTTCATGCAAAGTACTTGGTTTCACATATGTTGGGGATGTGAGGGTGGAAGAAGAAAGAAAAAAAAAATCTCAAAGGAAGAAACAGGATTGTTTTGGTTGGAGATCAGTATCTTTCCTGCTTCCTTTCTCATCCAATAAATGGGGTTATCTCTTATTAGCTGGTATTTCCACCCTCAGGATGGTGAAGGTAACCAGGGAGAGTGGGTTATTCCTGGGTGGAGGGCACCTGGAAGTGGGGTGTGGCACTCGCTGGTCCCCCAAAAGGAGACTGCACCTCAAGGATCTCTTTTTGGAACTGCTCCTATGAAGTGAGTGTCTGGTCTTATCTCCTTATTTCACCCGAAGACTCCCAGTTCCTAGTCCCTGTTAGTCTCTAAACTGTATCACACTCACCCCCTCCATTACGGCTTCCTAATGAGGAACCTTTCTCTCTCCTGAGCTCCTGATTGTGGTGCTTTGGCACATGCTGTGCACCTGCCCCTCTGAGAGCTGGTTTTTTGTTGGGCAGACACTGCACCGCAGTTGCTGGGGAAAGAAGGGAGTTAGAAACCGGGTACCTGGCCAGTCGAGTTCCAAACTGGGAGTTGCCCCCACTAAAGATGGTAATGAAGGTGATCCAAGATGGAGGCATTTGCTTTCAGTGATGGGGTGTCAGGTCCGGTCAGAGGAGCCGGGCAATGGTGTTGGATTATGAGTTCGGAGACTGGGTCTGTGGCATGCAGCATGTGGCTGTGGCTGTCTTCAGAGCCGGTGTGAAGTTCCCTGGTACAGGTGGGCTACTGCAGGTAGGAGACTATCTCCACTGCTGCAGAGTCCCAAGATGAAGGCGACAGGGGGAACTCCATGTTGGTTGATGGGGGTCCACACAGGAGTGGTGGCTGGAGATCCTGCGCGTGGGTAGCTGCCAGGTGTCCTGCATGGGAGCTGCATCTGGGATTTCTGCTTTGATGGGTGGCAGAAAGTCTTACGCAGGTGCTGATGGCAATGATCCCGCTTGGACACCCAGTAGTCCTGCTTGGGAGAGTAGTTAGGAGACCTACTCTGACCCTGAGGCCTGGAGCCTTGCACGGGCACCGCGGCCATGATTCCTGTGTGGAAGCAGGAATATCACTCACAGAGAAGCAGTATTCTCACTTCTTGAGTCCCAGGTCACAGAGTGACACAGAAAGCTGCCTCTCTCAGGCCCGCCATCTTGCAGTCTTGGGATTCTCAATGTCTCTCTCTGAAAAATGGAAATGCCATAATTTCTACACCATGATTTTTCTTATATGTCCTCCAAAATTTTTAACAGTTTAATGATCTCTAAATAAATGTTTTTGAAATGCATTTATAAGTAAATAAATATGATAAAAATATAATACGCTGATTACTTTTTAAGTCCTGACTGAAAAAAAAAAGGCTCTTTTTGTAGATAAAGTATGTCCTTTGTCTTCCAAACAGAGTATAAGGTTCCTAAGGACACAGTGCAAGTGGTGAGGATTGAACCCAGTGCCTCAAAAACACATGCTTTTTGAGAAAAGAATGGATGAAAGAATGAATGCATTTTTAAGAACACACTAAACTTTCACCTAGATCCTTAAATCAAACCCAAATATTTAACAATTTACCTTTACATAATACAAACATTTAAACAGGACATGAAGTATAATCTGGAATCTAAACCAAGTTAGAATCATTATTAGAAAGGATTCTCAGCTAGGGTGACAGCCAGCTGCTGAGGTTTGACTTCAGATAGTTAAGCAATCATTGATGCTCCATCACATGACCACTCTTCTGATCCAAATCTCTCCTTTCCCAGTTAGGGAAACTGACTTGGAAAAGTAATCAGTGGTTCATGCAAGAGACCCCAGCTTCTTTTGTCTTGACTTTTTTGTTTTTGTTTTGTTGTTATTGTTGTTGTTGTTGTTGTTTTTTTTAACTTAGCTTGTTTTGTTTTTTGTACAGTACATTGCTTTTCTTTTTTAAAAAAAAATTAAAATTTAGAATTTTTCCAGTAGAGCCACAATTATGGGGCACTGGTCTACGACAAACAACTTCTTAAATTGTCATACAAGGGGAAATCTTTCCAAACAACTTGTTGGGAGTGGAAATGACCACTTCTTGAGTAAACATAGTTCAACTATAGATACTAATTAGCAGTTCCCTTAATAATTAATTTTAAGGTGGTGAATGTAGGTAATGATATATTTAAAATCACAAAACTGAGCTTTTGAGTGTATTTTAAACAGAAAACACTGTTTTCTTTTTTTTTTTTTTTCAGATGTTGATGGACTTTTATTTTGTTCATTTATTTGTATGTGGTGCTCAGAATTTAACCCAGTGCCTCACACATGCTAGACAAGCGCTCTACCACTGAGCCACGAAAACATTGTTTTCATTGTCATTAAAATCAAATGCCTTCTGATATTTATTAAATAAAAATAAACAATATAGCACTGAGGTTGTAGCTCAGTGGTAGAGCGCTTGCCTGGCACAAGTGAGGCACTGGGTTCAATCCTCAGCACCACATAAAAATAAGTAAATAAAGATATTTTGGCCACTTACAACTAAAAAATATTTTAAAATAAAGAATATAAATTAAAATCAATTTTCTCCAAATTTTATTATTTTTAAACTTTTGTCAGAATTATAATGTAATCTAAATTTAAGAAAATCTGAATATATTTAACAATACAAAATTGACAAACCTAATTCAAATGACATGAGAGTGACAGTGAAGTAAAATGTTTCCTGAAATCTAGTACTAAAGTAAATACAGTTTATAGTTATTTATGTTGTAATTTAAAAGTAAGAAAGTGAGGGAAATCAAATTAAAAAAAAAAACAACTATGTACATTTACATTTATTTCAGGTCACTCCAGTGGAACATCTTAAGAAAGCTTCCTCCTAATGGCTTCAGGAAGTACCACTATCTTCAAAAGCTGTAAGAAAAAATTAAATTCATGATATCAATATTAATATTTTTGGGTGGTAGAACCCAACATTTATACCATCACTTAAATCTAATTTCCCTTCAGGGAATTATTTAGCTGTTACCTGGAGATTTTTCTGAATAGTTCTAGAAGGCATTCCAGAAAAAACCTGAGATACCTATTCCCAAAGAGATGGGAGCATGTGTGCTGTGAATTCTCTATCACACTTCCCCAAAGTGGAAATATGTACACAGGTTCTTTTACTCTGTATGAGCCTAGCGTGGATCCCCTCAATGTCCAGCTTAGAGAACAATGCAATGATCTTTTGCCAAATTTGCCATCAAGACTAAAGAGTGAAGAATTTTCTTCCGTATGTTCACAAATCTGGTCTCCACATGACACAGCAAGTCATGGTTTGAAACCTCTGGGCATGTTCTGGGGGACTTGATTCCATTTCACATTGGCCTTGTACGTCATTTTATGTTGGCCTCAGGTGGTATCTGACGTGATTTTTCCCCTTCATTTTAGAATTATGTATGTACTCTCAACATCCACAGTGACCCAGGTGATGTTTAACTGTGATTCAGGTTAACTTTGTGATTAAATCTTATTGTCATATACTTGAATTATTGTGTTAACTCTGTCACTAAATCACAGGCGCTAGAAAACATCTCAGAGTTCCTCAGATCATTTTTATAGATGAATTGGTTTTAGTTTTCTTTTTATACTAGAGAAACCTGGTGTAGTAATACATATCTGCACTTTTTTTAATTTTTTTTAGTTGTTGGCAAACCTTTATTTTATTTATTTATTTATATGTGATGCTGAGAATTGAACCCACAGCCTCACACATCCTAGGCAAGCTCTCTACCACTGAGCCACAACCCTAGCCCCATATCTGCACTTTTTTAAAGAGAACAGGTAAAAATAGAATAAAATCAAAATTTTAAAAAAAATCTACACATTCAGTTAAATGTTCTAAAACCTTATATAATCTGCAGAAAAAAATTATTTTATACTTGAAAATTAAAATTTGAATGCAAATGACTTTTTAGAACTTCTTGCTAAACATTAATCAATATACAGAGAAGAGCTTTTCAAACTTAACCCTCTACTAGAGGCCCTGGCTTTGATCCGCAACACCAACAAAAATAATAACAATAAAAAATTAAATAAATTAAATTTTAAAATTAGACCTAATACAAAAACTTCAAGAAGTTACTTTCTTATTTTAGTTTCTAATTTCTGAAGTCTAAAGAATTTTTCTGATCTGTAGCACCACCTTATGTTCATATGTTTAAAAGGAGTTAGACTACAAGTCTATCAAATGCAGGTTTACATAACACAGAAGTTGAGCATTTTTGCACAACGAATATTGAATTAATTCTTAAACAGCCATTTGTTTCAAGTAACAAAATGATCAAAATAATTTTATAACAAAAAGAAGAAAAAAGCTTCTACTTGATTATTGAAAGTATAGCTTGACTAAGTCATTACAATAGTTACAATAAACATGTAAATATGTTAAAGCTTTTCTTTGAATTAGTGAGAAAGATGAATTACCTGTTACATGATTAGGCCCACAGCATGTCATATGAAATTTTTAGATGCATAGTAAATTTCATAAAACATTTTACAATCAAAGTTACATTTTTTTGCATGTTGGAGAATAGCAAATCTATTCTGGTCATTGATTTCCCCTCTATTGTTCCTAAAATTTATAATGAATTATATATAAATTTAGAACACCCTAAAGAACAAAGGCGACCCACATTCCAAACAAGAATGCAGGCTTGCTACCCTTATTTTGTCATTTCCCACAACCTAGGACAAATACATATAGAAATGCAAAGGTTTATGTGGGCTGATGCAATACAATAGACTATACTCTGATACCTCTTTCTTTTGACTTCCAGTTAACTGAAGGTCAAACTGCCAGCATTACTTGAGTTGCCTATATAAGCCTGCATTCTTATTTTGACACTCACTCCAGTCTAATTTATATTCTTTCAGACTTGACTTTTTTAGTTATATTTTTTACTTTTGCCATTTACATTCCTTGTAAGTTGCCTCAAATACTTTTGGAACAAGGCTTAGGGTGTCAAACTGATAAAATTAAAGTTGATTGGCTTAGATGATTTGTGATTAACATGGAATATTCTGTGTGGTATTAAAGCTGTCATACACTTATAATTTTGCCAGCACTGTGTTAATTTTAGTTATTATCTACCTCTTTTTTTTTACTTAATTTTATTTTTTTTAATTTTTTTATTATTAGTTGTTCAAAACATTACATAGTTCTTGACATATCATATTTCATACATTTGATTCAAGTGGGTTATGAACTCCCATTTTTACCCCGTATACAGGTTGCAGAATCACATCGGTTACACATCCACATTTTTACATATTGCCATACTAGTGTCTACCTGTTTATAACCAGAATTTCTAAGTAAATACTAGCCAAATTATACATGAATTTAATAGCAAAACAAAAGGACATGGAGCTGGGGTTGTGGCTCAGAGATACTGTACTTGCCTAGCACATATGAGGCCCTGGGTTTAATCCTCAGCACCACATAAAAATAATAAAATAATAAATATATTGTGTCCATTTATAACTAAAAAACTTTTTTAAAAAAAAGACATGATATCCACTTTCTCTATGTTATTTTATTATGTTTAACTTTTTTCCAATTTTTAAATTTTGGTTCAATACAGATAACATAAAATTTACAATATTAACCATTTTGAAATATATTTTAAGAGGCCTTAAGAACGTGAATTATTATGCTACCATCAGCCCCATCCATCCTCAGAATGCCTTTCATCTTGCAAAACTGAAACTGTTTCATTGTTTTCCTTATTAATAATCATTTTCAGGTATCTGCAACACAATAAGATTAGGTCTGTATCCATCTCTGCTTTCAAAGGACTGCACAGCCTTACTAAACTGTAAGTACCACTGCTAATTCATTTGCCCATACCACAGTGTTCTATCAGTCTGACCTATTCCAATCCATCCCAGCCCACTGCTCAGGACAATGCCAAAGGACACATGGCATTGTGGCTGAGCATGGGATTCAGAGTCAGACAGATTTTGATCTGAGTTCTCATTGCATCACTTACTAAGAGTGACCTTGAGAAAGTTATTTATTTGTTTGTTTGTTTGTTTAGTAAGCATCAGTTCCCTCTCCTGTAAAATACAAATTATAATAGTACCTTCCTCAGGATCATGGTTGGAAACAAATGAGAAAATTCCTAGGCAGCATTAAGTACTCTGAGCCTAACACATAGTAAGCACTCTATGTAAATTAGCCAGGGAGACATGATGGTTGAATGAACTTAGTCAAATTTAAAAAGCCTAATGGCATATTCATAAAGAATAAAAAATGCAAGGACTTCCCCAGTTACTCAGTTTTGTTTGTTTTATTTTTGCTTTTTGTTGCTAAAGATTGAACAAGGACTTCGTGCCTACTAGCATGCACTCTGCCACTGAATAATATACCCCCAGCCCTTCAGTTATTCTTTTTTAACTAATCCTGCTTTTATAAATACATAAAGCACCATAAGTTTTTAAAAAAACAAAGATTTTGCCAGATGTGGTAGTGCACACTTGTAAGCAACTTAGTGAGATCCTGTCTCAAAATTTAAAAAAAAAAAAAAATGAAGGTTGGAGATGTAACTCAGTGGTAAAGTGCCCCTAGGTTCAGTCCCCAGTACCAAATCATCATCATCATCATCATCATCAAAGATTTTTATTGTGGTAAAATATACATAATATAAAATTTACCATTTTAGCCATTTTAAATGTACAATTTAGTTATTAGAGACAACCACCTTGTTGTGCACCCATCACCACCATCTTCTTCCAGAACTTTTTCATCTTCTCCAGTAGAAACTCCACATCTGTTAAACTGTCCATTTCCCCTGCCTTTAACCCCTGGCATCTACCTTTCTACTTTCTGTTTCTCTGAAGTGACTATTAAAGAACTTCATATAATTGGAATCATAAAATATGTGTTTTGTATCTGATTTATTTCACTTAATGTAATGTTTTTGATGTCCATCCCTGCTGTTGCATGTGTCAGGATTTCCTCCTTTTTTAAGACAAAGAATGTTCCACTATATGTATAGACCACCTTGTCCTTATCCATTCACCTGTCTATGAACATTTGGGTTGTTCCACATTTCAGCTATTGTGAATAATGCTGCTATGAACATGGGAGTACAAATCTGTTTGGGTCCCTGCTTCCAATTCTTTTAGCTGTAATCCCAGAAATGTGATTAATGGATCACAAGTTAGTTCTACATTTGATTTTTTTTAAGGAGTTTCCATACTGTTTTCCACAGCTGCTTGTACCATTTCCTTTCTCACCAGCAATGCATAAGAGTTCCAAATTCTCCACATCTTCACCAACACTAGTTATTTTCTTGTTTTGTTTGCTTGGACAATAACTATCCTAATAGGTGTGAAGTGGTACACCATGGTGCTTAAGAGCAAAGCTTTTGTAAATAGAATTTCTCAAAAGTTCCATTTTATGTATTCATCCATTTCGTATCAAGCAGCCTCTTAGAAGAAGTAAATACAACCTGAAATCACATAAATAACTCCCTGGAGTCCCATTTCTGTCCCTTTGGTTTTTATTCTACCTCATTCTCTATCTTAACCCAAGAAACTCGTTCCCATCATATTTCTAGTTCATAATGGCAGAGACTGAAATTTGTCCAAGAATATGTAGCAAGGCCTAACAAAGCAGAGGGAAGCCACAGGAGACTCAAAGATTCACGGAGCCACTGTGGCTGAGTAATTCTGCCTTCTCCCTCACCCCTGCCCTTCTTATGAAAGTGCCCAAAGTCAGTATAGGTAGGACACAGTCTCATCAAGATCCTAACTATCTTTCTCTCCATGAATCTGTGCAAAACTTTCTAAACAGAATCTCTTTGGTTGATATTCAGTGGATAAGGAGGAAGGTAGCACAAAAACTGGAGAACACATGTCAAAGTGTCCTCCATTTCTTTCCATCTTTTTTTCCTTTGGCACTGGAATATTGCTTGAGGGTTAAAGATGCCACCTAACTCTAGTTTTTCATATATAATCATAAAATACCAACTTTCCTTTATCTAAAAGTACTCATTAACCTCTACAGGGTGCAAGTTCTTCAGGATGACACCACGGGGGCCATAGGATTATGAATCAGACACGCTGCCTCAAGGAGCTGCTACCCGAGTAGTTCAGGCAGAGCGCTGAGATAAATTGGGGAGGTTCAGTCCTCTTGTTCTCTAGAAGCTTATGATCTAAGATGAGGAAACAACACTAACATGTGCACAATAACTAGAAACTGATGAGGAAAACATTATTCCTAAACCTGTATTGCTCAGACCTAAACCGCTATTAGGGTTCACTGTAAAAAGTGACAGTTTGGGACTCAAAGCAAAGAAGGATGACTCTGAAAAATGAACAGGACTGGGCTACACAGATGAGCATGAAGTAAAACAGCAGATCAATTGCCTTTTACCTGAAGGGATGGTTGTTGGTTCATAAAACAGCCCTCAGAAGGGTTCAGGGGAGGTACTAAAGCTATTTTTTTTGTACTGGGGATTGAACTCAGGGCCACTCAGCCACTGAACCCCATCCCCAGCCCTATTTTGTATTTTATTTACAGACAGGGTCTCACTGACTTGCTTAGTGTCTCACCATTGCTGAGGCTGCCTTTGAACTCGTGATCATCCTGCCTCAACCTCCCAAACCACTGGGATTACAGGCGTGTGCCCCCGCACCTGGCTCCTAAAGCTATTTCTTACCCATGCCTAGGCCAGCTGGGCTCCAGGTCTACAAAGGAGGGAAGGAAGTGGCTTTAACCTGGGGTGTCAGCCAAGAAAAAGTCAAATCTGGCAACAAAGAACAGATTCCTGGCAAGATTTTATAGGATGTCAACTCTAATACGTAAGAGTACAGAAAAGAAATCTATAGGTTTCATATATCCACAGGATATATGAAACAGGAGTGAAATTTGAACTAATAACTTGTATATTAACCACAAGCAAAGAGGAAAAAGAAAAAGAAAGAAATTGGAGTGGAAGACACAGAGACATTGTTGTAATAAATAATACCTACAGAGTGCTATGGCACGCATTGCCCCAAGTGTCACAACAGCCCTATGGAGTAATGTTGATACTGTGCCCATTCTAGAGTTGAGGAAGCTGAAGCTTACAGGAATTGATTGCTTGGTCAAGGTCATGTTTAATAAACAGAAGAGTAAGGAATCAAACTGTTTCATAGCAGATAACTATGGATAATCACACTAGAGAGACTGAGATAGAAATAAACATGGCTAAAGGAAAAAATGAACTCAATATACCAGAGAGTTCATCCACTTTGCAGAGGAGAAATCAAGTTGGATGGGTGAGGCCGTCAAGCTCTTTAACAAAACATGCAATGACCTTTCCCCAGAACAGGCCCCTAGCTCTTCCAGGCCCATCTCCTGTCTGTCCTCACAGCTTCCTTCATGGTGAGGCCTTACTAAATTACCTGGTGATGCCTTAACTTGTTACTCTTTGTACTTCTTGTCTTTGCATAAGCTATTTCCTCTGTCTAAAATAACTCCTGCTTTGTGAATGCCAAGCCTTCATTCAAGACCTTTCTCAGCTGTGCTTCCTTTAGTGAGACTTTTCTGTCTCCTCTCTGTGCTCTTTAGTTCTAACCACTAGTGCTTTCTGCTCTGTAATGTCAAAACAACCCTACGGATACATTTTCCTCTGTTTTCTGTATGTTGCATAATAGCCCATCCACATCCTGTCTCCTCTTCAGATGTAAAGCCTCACAAAGAATAGGATGACATACCTAGCACAGTATCATTGTGTTACTCAACTTTGTGTCACCATAATGAAATATCTGAGGCAATTAACTTTCCTTAAAAAGGAAAGGTTTATTTTGGCTCACAGTTTTAGAGATTGCAATCTATGATAGATTGACCCCATTGCTTTAGGCCTACCTAAAGCCATCATGGTAGGTGCATATGGCTAGGGAAAAAAAAGAAGAGGAAAAAAAAAAAAAGGAAGGAGCCATGGGTCCCCCAGTCCCCTTCAAAGTCACACCCCCAATGACCTAAGGACTTCTCTCTAGGCCCCATCTTCCATCCACAGCACCTCCCAAAAGCACAAAGCCTTTAACATATGGACCATTGGGGAAAACTTATCCAAGCCATAGTAGTCATAGAGTAGGTACTCAAAACAAGTTGATGAATAAATGAGGTCAATGAAAAGAAATTGATTAATTATTATGGGGGAAATTTAAAGCTGGAGATGATACAGTAATTAACAGGCACTCTTAAAGATTCAAAGGCAGGGAAATGGCAGGGTAAGAATGTTATATAAGAACATTTAAAATGAATGATAGCTATTTTACTTTCCTAATTATGAAGTGTTGAAAAGGTACAGATTTATTACAGTCATTTCTCCTTTTCTAGGTACCTCAGTCATAACAGAATAACCTTCCTGAAGCCAGGTGTTTTTGAAGACCTTCACAGACTAGAATGGCTGTATGTTTAATTTATGTAGCATTACGTAGTATTAGTTTTTATGTTCTAAAAATAGATAAGTGAATCAATTTTTTTTCTGCCTGGCAGGATAATTGAAGATAATCACCTCAGTCGAATTTCCCCACTAACATTTTATGGACTAAATTCTCTTATTCTCTTGTAAGTACTAAATTAAAGGAAACATTTTAATTTAAGGGAAAGACATAAATAAAAATTAATGCTTTACAGTATGGAGATTTCTTGGAAAATTGGGAATGGAACCACTATTTGACCCAGGCATCCCTCTCCTTTGTCTATACCCAAATAGCTTAAAAAAAAACAGCATACTACAGGGACACAGCCACATTGATGTTAACAGCAGCACAATTCACAATAGCTAAACTGTGGAACCAATCTAGATGCCCTTCAATAGATGAATGGATAAAAAAAATGTAGCATATATACACAATGGAATATTACTAGCAATAAAAGAGAATAAAATCATAGCATTTGCAGGTAAATGAATGGAGTTAGAGAAAATAATGCTAAGTGAAGTTAGCCAATCCAAAAAAATAATAATAATAATAATGCCAAGTGTTTTCTCTGATCTAAGGAGGCTGATTTATAGTGGGGTAGGAAGTGGGAGCATGGGAGGAATAGATGAACTCTAGATAGGGGAGAGGAGTTGGAGGGGAAGGGAGGGGGCATAGGGTTATAAATGATGGTGGAATATGATGGACATTATTATCCAAAGTACATGTATAAAGACATGAATTGGTGTGAATATACTTTCTATACGACCAGAGATATGAAAAAAAAAGAATTTAATAATAAAGTAATCCAGACTGGGGGGAAAAAAAGAATTGTAATACATACCACTGTCATATATACATTAAAAATTAATAAAAAAATAATGCTTTAAACATAATAACATTAAACTTGGAATTATTAAAACCCCAAAAAAGGCTTTTCCAACTAAAAACTATCTCTTATTCTTATTCTCTAAGGCTATTTATAATTGTAACAATTTTTGTCTTCTAAGCTGGGCACAGTAATGCATGCCTGTAATCCTAGACGCTCAGGAGGCTGAGACAGGAGGATCACGAGTTCAAAGTCAGCCTCAGCAAAAGCAAGGCACTAAGCAACTCAGTGAGACCCTATCTCTGAATAAAATACAAAATAGGGCTGGGGATATGGCTCAATAGCCAAGTGCCCTTGAGTTCAATCCCCTGTACCCCCCGGAAAAAAAAAGAAACTTTTTTCTTCTAGAATGTCAGTCTGTCAAAACTGAATATAGTCTATCACATTTTGTTGAACTATTCTTAAGCATATCATTACCACCACACATTGATCTTAGTAAAGAAAAGCAAATTCACTTAAAATCATCTTTTTTCAGTTACTAACTTTGTTGCTTCCTCCATATGATAACTGCTATTTGTAGAAATTTTATTAGTATCAAGCATTTAAATATAACAAGACTCACAGAGTAAATAGAGAAGACAACTAACTTCGTAGATTTGCATGGTTTTATAAGAATAATGATAATACCATGTGTACCTTAAGAAAAGAACCAGAAAAAAAAATGTGACATCTTTGGTTTCTTTTCTTTTTCAGGGTGCTGATGAATAATGTCCTGACACATTTGCCAGATAAACTTTGTCAGCACATGCCAAAGCTACATTGGCTGTAAGTGATGGTATCTCATTTGAAAGAAGTCTACTAAAATCTCTACGTTGCCTAATTCATCTTGTATATTCATCTTGTATTGCTATTATCACATCACATTTTTTCAAATTACTTTGGCCTATTTTTGTATTTTATGTCCCCATTATCTAACTTCTCTAAACTCTCACCAAAATGAAATATCTCAAAACAAAAACAACTTTAGAACCAGGAAACAGAAAGGCAGAAGGGATGTTATGGGATCTACATAATATTTCTCCCTTCCCCCACCAATCTTACCTATTAAGTTGTTACAAAAAGATTTGATCATTTTAGTTCCATTCATTTAAGAATTTAATCTGAATAATGAGAATATGATATGTAGTACTTATCTTTCAAGGCTAATTAGAATAGGTTCCATGGAACTTTTTTTGGTGCTTGATTTTTTTATTCTAATTTGTTATATATGACAGCAGAGTGTATTATAATCCATATTACACATATAGAGCACAATTTTCATATCTCTGGTTGTACACAAAGTATAGTCACACCATTCGTGTCTTCATACATGTACTTAGGGTAATGATGTCCATCGCATTCCATGGGATTTTTATACAATAGCTTTGCTTTTAATAATAAGTGTCATTCTGCTATCCAGAATTTAATTTTATTATCCAGTAAATTTGTCTACTTAAAACACAGGTTTAAAAAAATAAATACCCCCCTCTTCTCTCTCTCTCTCTCTCTCTCTCTCTCTCTATCTCTCTCTTCTCTTTCTTTCTCCCTCCTCCCCTCCCTCACTCTCTTTCTCTTCTCTCCCTCTGTCTCATCTCTCTCTCTCTCTAAAAATGTAAAATTTTAAAAATAACCAAAATAACTATTTAAAAGGCTAATCAACAAACTAATTTACATATATAAAAACTCCTTCTGCCTCTTGTTTTATAAGAAATTCCCAGAAGTTGGTTGTTTGATCTCTATCTTCACAGCAGTTTAGAAGTACCCAATAAAAGGAAGGGTAAAAGTTAGAGTTGGAAACATTGATTGTAGTGAGAAGTATCAACTCTCAAGTTGATAATAGAACACAAGTGAGACATGCATGAAAAGCAAAGATTTTTTTTTCAAAATATACTAACTTGGAACCACTGTAGGAAAAAAGAAACTTCACAAAAATAATTACTGGCCAATCATCATGGGCCTATCTACAATGGGTTGTGAGAGGTGATTTTAACATGAATGATTTTTCCCTTTACTGAGAGTAATATATGGCAGTAATAGTGTACTTAAAAACATTTCCATAAAATGCAATAGTGAGACTATATTCAGTTTGGATGGGCTGACAGTGTAGATAACAAAATGTTTTATAAAATTGTTAGAATTAGGGGCTGGGATTGTGGCTCATTGGTAGAGCACTCTTCTTGCATATGTGAGGCCCTGGGTTCAATCCTCAGCACCACATAAATAAAGGTATTGTGTCCACTACAATCTTAAAAAAAATTGTTAGAACTATAAATAGCCTTAGAAATTTGATTAAGAGATGATTTTAGTAAAAAAGTCTTTTTGGAGTTTTAAGTCCAGGAGGTACCTTGGTATGACAGTTAACGTTGATGACAAGCTAGTCATAAAAGGGCAGGCAAATTTATTCAGTATTCTTCATTGTAATTGAATTTTGTTTCAGAGAAGTACATTAACAGCTATTACATGCCTAGCAATCCCAACCTAATAATGAAGCACAATTGGTCAGCATTCACATAAGTAAATTAGCAATTAAAAATTTGTGCATTGTGGGAATGGGGGTGTGGATCAGTGGTAAACCATTTGCCTAGCATGGGCAAGGCCCTGGGTTCTGTCCCCATCATTAAGAAAAAAACTTGTGCATTAAGATCAGAAACAAATATGAGAGTTATGATATGCTTATCACAATAAATCTTTCTTTTGCCTTTAAAAAAGGCAGCAAATATATATATCATGTATCCGTTAATCAAAATGATTAAAATTTATTACTAAAAGGATGGACTTTACAATTTTTTGTTATTATCTATAAATTTGAGCTATCAAAAGTAACTGATAGTAAATATTAGCCCAATTTTAATGTTATTAATAGTTTTTTGCTTCATAAGTATTTATCTACTTCAAAACCAATTACAATCTCATTATTTTGTATATGAGTTTCCATTTTGCAAAGTGCAACTAAAAAACCAATTTGTTGGCCAAAAATAAATTTTTAACTCAGATTTCAGGAAAAAAATACATTAAAATAAAAAGATAGAGAACAGTTCAGGAAATTATGCTTCATAATACTTGACAGATAATAGATTAAAATCTTTAATATAGTTCTTTCAAAGCAATGAGATGTAAAAAACCACAATAAAGTTTGGAAAATTCAAAAAGAAAAACATAAAATTAATAAAAAAACAGATGAACATAGGGCAATAGCCAATGTACTCTCCCAAAGGTCATGATAGTGAAGTAAACTTTTATCCTGAGATGAAACTAAGTCATTTATCCATTGGAAAACTAAGCCAATATGAAGAATTTGAAAATGCAGATGAGGAAGGCAGTAGAAAACAGATAAGCATGGAAAAATAAAACATGATACACACACATACACAGCATGATAATTAATAAAATAGCACTACTTCAGTCAACATGGCTCAATTTCAAGAACATAATATGGTTCATAGAGAGAAATTCACAGACTAGTACATATACTATATTGCAATTCTATTACAGCAATATTGTGCTTAGGATTTAGAAAACTACAAGACAATATTGCTCTCTCTCTCCCAATAAGAAAGAGCTTTATAATCTACAAAATCCTAATTTTCAATAGCTCATCAGAGAGCTATAAGACAACCAAGTAACTGGAATTTTAAGGAGTTACAAAGAGAGCTGGGACATATATTGTATTTCACCTTTGGCAGAGTGTAGGGATAAACGTTGGCTATCAGGAGAGCAGGTACAAAGAAAACTGCTAAAATTTTAATAAATATATACAGTTAAGCATGGGCTAGTGTAACACTTTAGAATAACTGAGAACCGTGCATTCAGGGGAGTCCACTATCCATAAAGGCTGCTTTTGACTGGCCTCCACCAGCTCACACGAAAAACTAGACAGCTCTCCTTGATAGCACACAGATATAAAATCTGTCCACCTCCCAAGAGATATAACCTTATTTTCCCCTCACCCCACCCAATTCTCTCAATTAAAAAACATTTCTTAAGAAACAAAAGTATTGGAAGAGGAATAGGAAACCCTCCTGCACCCAGGGATTATGCAAAGATCCACTGCTACAAAAGGAGAGGGAGAGACTAGAACACTCTGTGCTCTGGTAGTGGCAGAAAACCTCTGTATCCCAGGATCCTGCACCGACACAGAGCTTCTAGGTAAGGGCAGGAAATCATCTGTGTTAGTCAACCTCCTGTCATTGTGACAAAATACCTGAGAGAATCAACTTACAAAGAGGAAAGGTTTATTTGGTTCATGGTTTCAGAGATTTCAGTCTATGGTCAGTTGGTTCCATGGCTTTTGGGCCTGCACCAAGGCAGTATGTCATGGCAGGGAATACTTGAAGGAACAACACTACTCAATTTATAGTAGCCAGGAAGCAAAAGAGACAAAGGAAAGAACTGGAGTCACAATATTCCCTCCAAGGGTACCCCCAAAGTCCTAACTTCCACCCCCTAGGACCCACCTCCTAAAGGTTTTACCACCTCCCAATAGCACCATCAGTTGGGTACCAAGCCTTTAACATATGGGCTTTGGGGGGATGCTATCCAAGCCATGGTCTTATAAGACTGGTTTCTGGGGATGGAAGGAAGCAATGCTGAGAAAGTCCTACTTCCTAAAAAGGAAAAATGTAAGTCCAATGTAAAATTATAAAGTAATCAATAAACTGAAAACCCAACCTGGCAATAGCTCAGATATTACAGCTTCCAAGTTGGGATATTAAAATACTTATGATTAATAAGATAAGTGGAAAAGTGAACAATATGTATGAACACATGGAAAATGTCATCGAAGAGGCCGAAATTATAAAATTGTGTTGGAAGATGATAACAACAGGCTTAGCAGTAGACTGAATACAGCTGAGAAAAGAATCAATGACCTTGAAAACAGGACAACTGAAAACTTTCAAATCAAAACAAAAATTTTGTTAAAGTCCAAACAGAGAATCCAAAGCTGCAGGAAAATATAGAATGTCTAACAAAAGTATAGGTAAAACCACAGAAAAAGAAGAAAGGAAGAACTGGACAGAAGAAATGGCTACAGAAATAATGGCCCATGATTTTCCAAACTTAAATTAATAAAATAATCCAGGAATGTAGGAACCTTAGAAAATTTCAAGCAGAGTAGGAAAAACACTAGACAAGCCATCACCAAACTGCTAAAAACCTAAATAAAGAAAAAATTCATATGGCAATCAGAAAATAAAATAGAAATATTACATACTGCAAAATAGAGATAGAAATGCAACAGTGATTTTTTTAAAAAAGTTAGAGGGTCTATGTTAATATAGGAAAAATAGATTTCAAAACATTAAGGCTAAAAAGGGATACCTTATAAGGATAAAAGAATTGTTTAAGAAGATATACTAATCCTAGATGAGTAAGAAATTTTAAAAAGCAAAACACAAAATGAAAACCACAGAACCATAAAGAAAAATAGCTAGGAATCAGGAGCTATCATTTGAAAATAAGATGGATAGATGATAGACAGAAAGAATATTTGATATTCTGAAGGTGAACTCCAAAAAAGCAAAGCATATACTTGACTAAAATCATATGACAGGAGAGAGGTAGAGGAGCAAAAACGTATACAATATATACTAATTTTATCATCTGATAATAGGAAATTAAATAGTATTGTCAAAAGAAAGAGAAGATACAGTGCATTGTGTAGAGTTATCATGAAGGCAACCAACAGAATTTTCAAATCTGGCTAAATTTATCAGAAGAAATACAATTTTTAAAAAAATATTTAATGAAAGTTTTTAACCTATGAAACCATATAATAACAGTATCTTAAAATAACAAACTAAGGCCAACTATATTAGTCATGTAAACAAACCTATTAAAAAGAAAGAAAACTAGGCAAAGACTCAAATAGATATTTCTCAAGACAGAAAAAGGTACCAGGAATGGTGATACACACCTGTAATCTCAGCCACTCAGGAGGCAGAGGCAGGAGAGTTCTATCTGAACCCTTAACAAGTTCAAGGCCAGCCTCAGCAATTTAGCAAGACCCTCAGCAACTTTAGTGAGACCCTGTCTCAAAATAAAACATAAAAAAAGAGCTGGCGATGTGGCTCACTGGTTAAGCACCCCCGGGGTTCATTCCCTGGTACCAAAAAAAGGCTTCCAGATATATGAAAAAAATGTTTGACATCACCAGTTATCAGAAAATGCAAATTAAAACTACAATGAAATATTACCTCATACCTCTTAGGAAGACTGATCAAATGACAATTAGTGTTAGCAAGGATGTGGAGAAAAGGGGACACTTACACATTATTATTGGGAATGGAAATTAGTGCAGCCGTTGTGGAAAACAGGATAGAGGTTGCTCAAAAAAACTAAAATAGAAACTCCCTATGTTCAGTTAGCTTTCTGTCATGGTATCAAAATTAATTTTGCTAAATAATAATAATAATAAATTATTATTAATAATAATAAATTAACTTATGAAGAGAAAAGATTGTTTGGGCTCACAGTTTTAGAGTTTCCAGTCCATGATCAATTGTCCCATTATTGGCTCTATGATGGCACATCCTGGTGAGAGTGCATGCAGAGCAAAACCACTTACATCACATGCCAGGGAGAGACAGAGAGAAAGAAGGAACTGGCAGGTAGGGGGATGTTGGGGTTGTAGCTCAGTGGTAAAGCGCTTGCCTAGCATATATGAAACACTAGGTTCAGTTCTCAGCACCACATAAAAATGAATTTTAAAAAATGGTATTGTGTCCATCAACAACTAAAAAAAATTAAAGAAAAAGAAGGAATTGGAGTCCTACAATCCCTTTCAAGGTCACATCCCCAAGGCTAAGGAGTTCCCTACTAGGACTTACCCCCTGGAGGTTCCACCACCTCCCAATAACACCACCTTAGGAATCAAACCTTTAACACATAGCCTTTGAAGACATTTAAGAACTAAATTATAGTCACACATATATACTATAGCCACAATTTCCAGTTGCTTCCCTGAATCAACACATAGCTATGTGTCTAAGCTGTAAGGAGACAGGAGAAGTGGAAGGTGGGATTCCTGAAATGTTCATTAAAGAAAAAGACAAAGGCCGTTTCTTTTCCTTTCTCATCCAGGAAAAAAAAAAAAAAAGAAGAATATATTGGCTCAAACTTTAGCAAGGACCCCCACACAAGGACATATGAACAGTGAATATGGAAGATTTGGGGTCTCTAACAACTTTGTAAAGCTGTCATACCAGCCCTGTTTTTTTTTGTTTGTTTGTTTTGTTTTTTCTTGAAAGCAAAAATAAAACAAAACCCTGCGTACTTTCGCTACTATGGTTGGGTCTCAATTATATCCTAATAGATATCAACTTGAAAGCAAAAAGTATCCAAAGAACACAAAACTGATTATATATTTTAGGAGATAGACATACACAAACCAGGCTCAACATAACAGATGGAGGGTTGGCCTAGAGCACGAGGAGGGCCATCCTTTCCACTGAGACTAAAAGGAGACCAGATAGAGATCAGGTAAATTTGTAGATGGATAGAAAAATCAAGATCTTTCCCTCTTATGAAACAGGAACCAGATAGAGGGTAAGAATATTTTCATGTTTTGAAATGTCATTAAGGGGTAAACTAGGAAGTTGAAGAGAAACAGGCAAGATTTTTGATGATTTTATAGCTAGAGATGTAGCTCAGTGGTAGAATGCTTGTCTAGCATGTGTGAGTCCCTCTGTTCAATCCCCAATACTGGGGGAGGGGGACGGACTTTGATGTTTTAGGTTTTTGCTATTGTTGTTCTGACCAAATAATGAATTTTTCATTTTGATACAGCTCTACAATGTAAAAAGGGAAAAATAAAATTGTCAGGTTCAGAGGCTTATTAATTAGGAAAGGTGGTCTAGACATTCTGTGGGAAAATTACCTCTTGTCCTTTAGAACTTGAAGCAAGGAGCAAGAAGCAGATTTTTGTTTTGTTTTGTTCTTTGGTTGATGCTGTTGTTACCTTGGTTAATATATATTCACAAACCAGATTCCCTTATTTTAGGAACAAAGCCGAAGCAAATTTATAACTCAAGGTTGAAATAAACTCAAAATTAAATTAAACAAAGAATTTAATCAAAACTGCCTATTTGGGGGCTGGGGTGGTGGCTCAGTGGTAGAGCACCTGCCTAGCAGATGTGAGGCACTGGGTTTGATTCTCAGCATGGCATATAAATAAATAAAACAAAGGTCCATTGATAACCAAAAAAAATTTTTTTAAACTTCCTAATTAGTGCTTCAGTGTGTGCCTCTTATTGAATTTTACAAAGTAGTAAATTAGTACTAATAAATATTTTTTTTTCCTAAGGGTTTAAAAAGCAGTTACGTGGGCTAGGGTTATAATTTAGTGGGTTGGATCCTCAGCACTATATAAAAATAAATAAATAAAATACAGGCATTGTGTCCATCTACAACTAAAAATATACATTAAAAAATATGTAACTAATTAGAACAAAATTTTTAAAGTAATTTAAAAAATATCTATCCCCCCTGCAAAAAAATCAGTTACCTATGTAGTTCAACTCTATACTTTGTGAAGTTTGAAGGAGCATCGCCACCTGGTGGGAGATTCATGGTAACAGCAATAAAATAAAAGGAAACAATAGCCTCTGTCATTGACCATGGACATTGAGAAGCCAAAAGCCTAGGCCAAACCCAAGACCAAGAAAGTAATACCATAAGCACTTACCTTCCACTTTAATGGAATAACAAAACTTTTTCTTTATAGGTGTTATCTAGAATAAAGATTTCTGATTCTAATACAATATTCCTTGCAGTACAGAAATCTTATCTACAAAATTATCAAGATATGATATATTGCCTTTGCTAGATGCCAGAGAGAGGGAGCTTATTTATTCTCTGAATGCCATAACTTGCTTCAGAGGTTGAGCTTCTGTTTGAAATGACTTGTATCTTCAGCCAGTAAATTTAATTTTGTGTTCTGATGCAACAGAGAAAAACTATAATCTCTTTCATAGCCTGACTTCAAATATATCTCTTACTTTATCCTTTGCTGTAATACATACTCCCTTTTCTTCAGTTGGCATGGTTTCAAGATCACTTAATCCCAGTTTTACAAATCTTCCTGATATATTTTGCTTTGTCAGTGTCTATTTTTAATGCAGTGCCCAAAATAAAACTGAGCATTCCCACCACAGACTCACTGACAGAATACAGGCATATCTATTAATGCTACCCATATTTTCCTTAGAGATTTTAGTAATTATATCACACCTCCACCCCTATATTTCAGTCACAATAATTTGTGAATAGCTTGGCAACCAGTAAATTAAGTGTTGGGACACACTAAGTAGATTTAAGGGCCAGGATTTAACTTGGAAATGCAGTGTATCCCTAAACCTCAGCTGTCGTCCTCTGCTCAACAAACTTCTAACATATATCTGCTTGTAAATTAAAGGGTAGGGAATATAGTTCAATGGTAGAGCACTTTCCTGGCATACAAGAGGTCCTAAGTTTGATCATTAGCACCATAACAAATAAATAAACTTTTTGATAAGATTTTGTTGTTCAGATAGGATTCCTTGTGGTGGTAAGGTGTGCTCTTTGTGACAATATTAAAAAAGAAAGAAAAAGAGTATAATCCCAGGGGCAAAAAAGCTACTGAAGATATTTTTCTGGGGTATTTTTAGTATTCTGACTAACGAGGCAGGTGCTTAAAATTATCTTAATAGTAGCAGCTTTGCAGCAATAATAGAATCTCACACAGCCTATAGCAAAGTGAAATCATATCACTTAGGGAAATGCCACTTGGTAATTCTGAATAAATGTTTAATGTGTTCACTATTAAATATCTGTTAATAAATTAGGTATTTATCATAACAAATGTTTTCACTTTGATTTCTCATTCTCTTTAATTTCTCAGAATAACATGTCTCCATGAACATAAGATACAGGAGTGACTCAAAACATTTTTACTATTAATAAAGTAAAAACAGTAACAGTACTAATATATGCCTACATGCATGCATAAAATAATTTATGGTATTATGTAAGTGGCTACAAGTGAAGGTATAAAGTAAACGGAATGTAAAAGAACAATATATTTTATTAGAACACAAATAATTCTTAATCAATTTATTTCTGTCTGCAATTAAAATTTAGCTTGATCATGTTTTATGTTTTATATTCCAGGGACTTTGAAGGCAACCATATCCATAATTTAAGAAATTTGACGTTTAGTTCCTGCAGTAATTTAACTGTTTTGTAAGTAATATTTTTGTGCTTTTGAAGTGGTATTGTATCTCCTTACAAACCAAATGAAGCCTTTAAATGGACAAAAGCCAGCCTCAACACGTGTAGGGTAAGAAATGTATGATTTCTGTCCACCACAACAGCCTCTACCAATGCTCCTATAACAAAATACAAGTTAACAGGAGAAAAGTAGAACAGACCTTATTTAATCAAAATTTAGCATGGCCCAGGAGCCTTAGGAAGACCCAAAGATCCGTGGGGAAACTGACCTTTTTAATGCTTAGGTTCAGTGAAAACCAGATGGCAGTATAGAAATGTGATTGGATGAAAGGGTGTGACCTACTAGTAAGAGACTGAGAGAGGAAACCCAGACAGGCCTGTCCAGATTCTTCTTTGCTTCTGTGTATGGCATTCCTTCCTCTCAGGTGTGGGGCAGTACCCTTCCTGGAATGAGGATCTTATGACCTTCCAACAGACAAGGCAAGTCAGAGAATGTCCTTAAGGCCAGCTCCTACAAAGAAAGGTGGCAGAAGACCAGAGTAGTATTTCTAGGTTTTATGGCTGAATTTGGGGAGACGGGCTCTAAATTCTATGGCCCGCCTTGGAGAAAAAAAGGGAGCAACAGAAGGGCAGAAGAATGGCAGTAAGATCTTGCTTCCGAGATCCTTCTAACGTCCTTCAGTTCAAGTACACAGCACACCAAAGTGCCATACTTTGGGGTATCATTTTTCTGAGCCCCAACACATGCATTGTGATTATGGCAAGCATTCACCATGGAATTCACATTTGTTGAAACTGAAGGACTCCAAGTTCAAATCAAGGGTAACCACAGATTTAACCATACATGAAGCATCACAATGCCACTGTATTATCTGAAACCCCTGAGGATGTCATTATGAACACAAGGATAAAGCTTTTTTAATATTTTTTAGTTGTTGATGTACCTTTATTTTTTATTTATTCATATGTGGTGCTAAGGATAGAACTCAATGCCTCATGCATGCTAGGAAAGTGCTCTGCCACTGAGCCACAACCCCAGGCTCAGGATAAAGCTCTGAATATTGCTGAGTATAATTTCTTCTTCCTCCTCCTGCCTATTTTAAGTTCACATGACCTTTCCTTCCTGTGAAAGTAAAGGACAGGGGGACTTCCTTCAATATAAATATCTAACTTCCAGGCTGGGGGTGTAACTCTGTGGTAGGGCATTTGCCTAGCATGCATGAGGCCCTGGGTTTGGTACCCAGTGGTGCACATACACAAAAATAAAATCCAATTCCTTCATTCACAGTTTACTTTGCCTAAATATTTTTCAAACTCTTGGTTGCAACTCATGAGTAGGTAATGAAATCAGTATAGCTCAATCAATTTAGAATGTCCTGATCAGCATTTATAAATAAAATAGAATTTAATAGATTATATCATAATACAATGCAGATAATGTAGCATGAAATGAGACTTAGGTTATGGGTGTATGCACATATTTTATGTCCCAATATAAAATGCATTTTTACTAGGAGTAAACATATTTCACTAGGGGTTACCATGGGGAAACTCTTAAAACCATCATCCTAGAGGACCCTGTATATAAGCTATACCATAGCTACCACTAGTGTAACAATGTGTTTTATCCAATTATACACCCTTCCATCCATATGTTCAAAGTCACTGAAATTTTTGAATTCTTCCACTGAGTTAATCTTCAAATTCAGGATGCTTCATATCCAACTATGCAAGACATTCATACTAATTACCCAAAAGGAAACCAATGAGCAGCTAAAGAACACAGAACAAATAGATATCTGAAATGCTAAGAACATCTTTTCTGTTCTGTTTGCATTTTTCTTAGTGAAACTTCTGTATGAAGAAATAATCTGTGGGTTTCTTCTTGGCAAGTGTTTGTGCTTTTTTGGTCCAGGATCATTAGGAGACTGTGGTAATGGTTTGGAATACCAGGAGGAGTTAAATATTTATAGATGAGACAAGGTCAAATTTAAGACATGTCACACAGTGTTTAAAGAATTGAAACCCCTTAAAGATTTCCCATGAGTAGTCCTTTATGCTAGCTGGTAACACATGAGATCCGTGCAAAATGAATTGTCAGGAGGCTAGGGGTGTGGCTCAGTGGTAAAGAGTGTGCTTAGCATGAACAATACCCTGGCTTCCATCCTCAGCACCAGGAAGGAAGGAAGGAAGGAAGGAAGGAAGGAAGGAAGGAAGGAAGGAAGGAAGGAAGGAGAAACTGTCAAGAGTTACAGTCTTATTCATCATTCAGCATGCCAAACTTGAGACTCTTCTGATATCATCTAACTTAGATCACTTTCCCTTCCTTACTCAGCTCCACCCTAAATCCCATCAACTTTCAAATGAGCAAGCCTGCTTAGAGTATTATGTTAGACACACTTTTCAGGTTATACTTCTAATTAAAAATTGCAAGTATAGGGCTGGGGTTGTAGCTCAGTGGAAGAGCTCTCGCCTTGCATGTGGAAGGCACTGGGTTCCATCTTTAGCTCCACATTAAAAAAAAAAAAAAAAGGTATTGTGTCCATCTACAAGTAAGAAAAATTTTTTATTTTAAAAAAAAATTAGAAGTATATTTTATTATCCTTATTAAAAGGTTTGGATCTACATACGGTGGGGTCGGGCTCCAAATTCCTCAATAGGACACCCATAGCACAAAAGTTAATAACTAGAATCAACAAATGGGACTTACTCAAACTAAAAAGTTTTTTCTCAGCAAAAGAAACAATAAGAGAGGTAAATAGGGAGCCTACATCCTGGGAACAAATCTTTACTCCTCACACTTCAGATAGAGCCCTAATATCCAGAGTATACAAAGAACTCAAAAAATTAGACAATAAGATAACAAACAACCCAATCAACAAATGGGCCAAGGACCTGAACAGACACTTCTCAGAGGAGGACATAAAATCAATCAACAAGTACATGAAAAAATGCTCACCGTCTCTAGCAGTCAGAGAAATGCAAATCAAAACCACCCTAAGATACCATCTCACTCCAGTAAGATTGGCAGCCATTATGAAGTCAAACAACAACAAGTGCTGGCGAGGATGTGGGGAAAAGGGTACACTTGTACATTGCTGGTGGGACTGCAAATTGGTGCAGCCATTTTGGAAAGCAGTATGGAGATTTCTTGGAAAGCTGGGAATGGAGCCACCATTTGACCCAGCTATTCCCCTTCTCGGTCTATTCCCTAAAGACCTAAAAAGAGCATGCTACAGGGACACTGCTACATCGATGTTCATAGCAGCACAATTCACAATAGCAAGACTGTGGAACCAACCTAGATGCCCTTCAATAGACGAATGGATAAAAAAAAAATGTGGCATTTATACACAATGGAGTATTACTCTGCATTAAAAAATGACAAAATCATAGAATTTGCAGGGAAATGGATGGCATTAGAGCAGATTATGATAAGTGAAGCTAGCCAATCCCTACAAAACAAATGCCAAATGTCTTCTTTGATATAAGGAGAGTAACTAAGAACAGAGTAGGGACGAAGAGCAGGAGAAGAAGATTAACATTAAACAGGGATGAGAGGTGGGAGGGAAAGGGAGAGAGAAGGGAAATTGCATGGAAATGGAAGGAGACCCTCAGGGTTATACAAAATTACATACAAGAGGAAGTGAGGGGAAAGGGAAAAATAATACAAGGGGGAGAAATGAATGACAGTAGAGGGGGTAGAGAGAGAAGAGGGGAGGGGAGGGGAGGGGAGGGGAGGGGGGATAGTAGAGGATAGGAAAGGCAGCAGAACACAACAGACACTAGTATGGCAATATGTAAATCAATGGATGTGTAACTGATGTGATTCTACAATCTGTATATGGGGTAAAAATGGGAGTTCATAACCCACTTGAATCAAAGTGTGAAATATGATATATCAAGAACTATGTAATGTTTTGAACAACCAACAATAAAAAATTTAAAATAAAAATAAAAGATTTGGGATGGTAGGCCTGGGAATGTAGCCCAGTGGTAGAGCACATGCCCAACATGCAACAGGCCCTCTGTTCAGTCCCCAGCACAGAAAGGACGAATGAAAAGAGAAGTAGGGAGAGATGGAGGGATAATTTGGGAACTTTGATATCAAAATTGAATTAGATAGTTAATCATACTACTTCAAAATCTCGATGTGAAACATGCACTGTATATTCATTACCTTTATTTTTGCATACTGATAATGTCTTTAGTAATTTAAGCAATAAGTACCTCAGGATGTAAAAATGTATTTTTCTTTTTTTATTTCAGGGTAATGAGGAAAAACAAAATTAATCACTTAAGTGAAAATAGTTTTGCACATCTCCAGAAACTAGATGAATTGTAAGTTTGACTAAAAGAATTGTTAAGAATTTTTTACCATTATTTTATTTCATATTTGTTATATGTACCCTGGGTCACAAAGGAATTCAGATGGCTTGCAAAAATAAACATGAGATAAATATTTGAGAAAAGTGGGATAAAGGAAACACAGCTGTAGAGAAAGTATAAGGCCAGGGAAAAATGAATAAATAAATATATTCTATACCACTGTGTTCCAATGTTTCAAAGGGGACACAATTTTGTATTTAAGTTTCCTAGAGGGTTAGTATTCAGGGATCATAAGATTAAAAGACACCAGCTGGGCATGGTGGTACATACCTGTTATTATTGTGGCTAGGAAGCTGAGAGAGGAAAATCACAAATTTGAGGCCAGCCTCAGCAACTCAGTGATGCCCTAAGCAACTTAAGCGAGACCTTCAAAAAAAGGGGGCTGGGAAGTGACTCAGTGGTAAAGCACCCCTTGGTTCAATCTCCAGTACAAAAAAAAAAAAAAGATTAAAAGTCCTCAATATTCTGATTCTGAAACTAAAGGATAACCTTGGATTCATAAGGAAACTAGATACTGCCATGAATAACATCCTTATCTATAATAACAGAAGAAAGAGATAATTTTAAAAGTATTTTTATAATGTTTGTGCTCGAATACCAATAACTAAAGGTGAAGCAAAGCCTTATTGGCCCAACCACAGAGTAGTTGGTTGTCAAGATAAAATAGATATGGAACAATGAATGAAGTGCACACCCTTTAAAAAAATGTTTAATTTTTTAATATCAATTTTCTGGGGAAAAAAATCCAAATTTTGGACAAATCTATGTGTTTTGACAATTATCTGGGCAGAATACTGGTTTATTAAAGTTTTTCCATGAAACAAAGAACATAACTAGAATGTTATGAAATGACACCTGAATACCTTAGCTAAGCACTGAAACAGGTAGAGAGAATTCCTGTTCCTGAGCAGGAGCATTCGTTAGAAAACAATCTTGTATTCTGCTTCAAAACACTTTCAAACAAGCCATTGAAAACCGAACATTTTTAGTAGGGACATGATGGTACATACTGTCAACCCAGTGACTCTGGAGGCAGGAAGATCACAAGTTCGAAGCCAGCCTCAGCAACTTAACGAGACCCTCAGCAACTTAGCAAGACACTGTCTCAAAATAAAAACATAAAAAGAAATGGGGATATGGCTCAGTAGTAAAGCACTCCTGGGTTTAACACCCAGTATGAATGAAAGAAAGGAAGGAAGGAGGGGGAAGGAGGAAATAAAAAATCCAATATTTTTCTGTAATTATTAGCTTGAAAGATTTTTTAGTAGGCAATACCCAATCATTCACAAACATGCAAGAAAATCTCAATAGATAATTAGAACCAAGGCCTGTTGTGAGGACTTCTGGCATATGGCAACTGAACCTTATCATCAGCACATAGGAAATTATTTTTGGTAACAGGGAAAAATCCATCTAGATGATCCAAAGATATTATTTAACTGTTAAAATACAAGCTAGTCAAGGGATCCATATTTCTCCTGTTTTATCCAACTTGAAAGCACTAGAGGACAGTTACTACACAACCTAGTCTTCATGGTGGCAACCAGGTGCAGATTTTATACATCCCTAAAGACCAAGAATATGGAACACAAATAGCTTGGTCCATAACCAGTGCTAATCTAGGTTCAGAGGTAAAAGAAAGAGTAACAAAAGCTGCAAAGAGGGTAACAGGCCAATGATTAGTCCTACCTATGGCCTGCCCAATCCCATAGTAGACACTTGCTTGAAAATTCAGATTTATAAGGAGAAAAATGGCAAGGTTTCTAAGAAGTGATAGCTTTCAATGAATCAGTCTAGATCTCAACTTCCCCTTCATAGGAGGGTTGGGCTCTACTGTGTGCTCCTCCAGGCTCTTGTCACATCAATAGAACTAATGAAGGTAAATATATTGACAACACAGGATTCACTTGTCACAGAGGACTTTAACTTATTCCTGTGACAGGAAATCTTTGCCATGTGCTTACTTTTATTTATGGTTTACAGTTAACTGCTAATGGGCTGGGAGCATAGCTCAGTAGTAGAGCATTAGCCTTGCATGGGTGAGACCTGAGTTCAATCTCCAGCACCCAAAAAAATAATAATAAATAAATAAAGTCAACAACTACAGTAGATGTTTCCCGAACCCATTCAGAAATAAACCTTGAGTCCAATTAAGTTTATCCCAGCTGTCCTAATCTAAAGCTAAGAAAATTAAGTTTTTACATGTCACTTAGGATTGAGGCCAATACTATCTCATTACATAATTCCCGCTATAAAAACTATATATTAGAATTTGCTCTGATAGCCAAAACCCACACTTCCACCAGAAATTGTTAAACATATTTTTTGAGTTTTAATACCCTAGAGGACTACTTTAAATTTGGCACGTCGCCTTTCTAAGATGATCAATATTTTACTTGGCTTCCTGTTCAAGGAACTTAATCATATCAACTCTTACCTAAATATGAAGCAGACTCAGCCTATTAAGAGTCTTCTCACCAGGATGGAAAAAAAACAGCTAGTCCAAAACTGAGTGAGGCACAGAATAGCCCACACTGAATGGGTATAGTTCGTATCCTCAAGGGGCTCACATCTTTCAGAAGGGAAGCAGACGTGTATACGGAAGCAATGTTCACCTGATGTTCCATGTACCATATGTGTCATGTGTGCTGGGATAGAATATGTAGGAGAATGCATAGGGACAGAAGACCTAACCTCCTGGGCACTGGAAGTTAAAAGGGAATGTCATTTGAATGGAATCTTGAAGGATGATTTGGGATCACCAAAAGGGCAAGGAGGAGAGGCCAGGATAGGCAAAAGACAAGCCACCCAGGCCAAAGTGCAGAGGTCAGAACACTGAAGTGCCTTCAGACCATGGTGTAAGTTACAGTGAATAGCAAGTGATAGGAAAGGAGATTGGAAAGACTGACGTCAGAATGACAGATACTGATATACATCTCATATCACACCAAGCAGTTTTGAATTTATCATCTAGGCAACAAGAAGCTACTGTGAGATTTTATGAAAGGAATGAAATCTTAGAAAGATTCATTTGATCGTCAAAGCAGAACAACTCATCTGCATAGACAATTTGCCCATAAATATGTAAACCACAAAAATAGTCTCCAGGTTTAGTTTGCAGTATGAAAATAGGCATTCACGGCAAAGGCATTGATAGCATTTGTCAGATTATATTATCCACTCACTTTTAGTGTTTAGAACTCTACCTAAAATCATCCTGTTCCCCAAAGTTGAGAAACCTGAATTTTGATTTATAAACCAACCAGGATACGTAACAAGTAAATCTGTTCTCCTATCGATCACCATGGTAACTAATTTGGAGGCAGAGAGGGGAAATGGCTAGGCTTCCTTTTCCATCTCCCCATCACCTTAGAGAGCTCAAGTTTGCTGAAACTGTCTTTTGTTTAGAAGAATCTGAGTCCTTTCTCATGGAATCTGCCCCTGTCAAAGCTTCCGTGAGAGGTTCTGCAGTTAAAACCTTACAACTAAGCTTCAGGGTCATACCCTATTAGGGAGACCTCCTAGACATACATGAGATCACAAAGAATCCTACCCAGGAGAATGTGAGATCCCATGCATTTCACCTGGGAAAGAAACTTGCTTTTGAAATAATAGACTTCCATATGATAATCACAATAAACTCAAGCAGAAGAAAAAAAATAAGACTCCAAACCATATTCTTACTCTAACACAAAAAGAAGGGAAGGGGAGGAATAAAGGATGTAATACATACATACCCTTGTGACTGCATGGCCAACTGGGTGCTGCAGCCCACTGCTGACCCATACCACATATTGTTGACCCAGGAAGAGACCAAACCCAAAACTCAAAGGTAAATTGCTTTTACACTATTGTACAGTGAAAAATCAGAACACTGAAACTATTAAAACCAGATCAAATAATCATAAGTATTTGTTTCTGATGAAATGCTGAAATGGGATAAAATATTTGTTAAATATTTTCTCATTTTATCCATTTTTTAAAATCACTTTGGCTTCACAGGGTTGGGGGTTGAGCTCAGTGATAAGTCATAGGCTCAGCATGTAAAAGGCCCTAGGCTCAATCCCCAGCACCAAAAATACACTCTTAAACTTTTGTTAATTAACACAACTCACCAACAACATTGTTGAGAAGTTATATGTTGGTTTCATAGCAGACATCAGAACAACAAATAAAGTCTTCAGAAAATAACGTTTGCAATTGTTTCCCTAGGGATTTAGGTTGTAATAAGATTGAAAATCTTCCACCACGCATATTTAAGGATCTGAAGGAGCTGTCACAATTGTAAGACTTCTATTAATTTCCCCACCTCATTGCTTTATTTTATTAATGTTTTTAATTGTGATAAAATAAGCATAAGGTAAAATTAGCCATTGGTAGGTGTACAGTTGAATGGCATCAACTACATTCACATTGGTCTGCAATCATCACCACCAACCTCCTCCAGAATTTTTTTTTTCATCTTGCAAAACTGAAACTCTGTAACCATGAAATACTAAATCCCCATTCACCCTTCCCCGACAGCCCTGGGAAACTACCATTCTACTTTCCATCTCCATGCATTTGAGTAGCCTAAGTACCTCATCCAGTTGAAATCACTCAGTAATTGTCATTTTGTAGCTGGCTTGTTTCAATTATCATGATGTCTCCAAATTTCATTCATCTTGTAGCATGTGTCAGAATCTTCTTCCTTTTTAAGGCTGAATAATATTCCATTGTACCTATATACCACACATTGTGTTTATTCATTCATCAATTAATGAAAAAGGATTGCATCTACCTTTTTGCTATGTGCATAATAATGTTATGAACATGGGTGTACAAATACCTGTTTTGAGTTTCTACTTTTAATTCTTTGATCTTCAGTTATAATAAGATTATATCCCATCCCAATAAACCCATCATAAATTGAAAATATCATAAGTAAAAAAATGCACTTAATACACATAAACTACTACACATCATCATTTACCAACATTATACACTGTAGACTATCCTTTTTTTACCCTGTGAATGCATGGGTGCTGCAGCTCACTACAATTATCATACCACATACTGCTGACCCAAGAAGAGACCAAAATCAAAATTTAAAGGTGAATTGCTTTTATGCTATATACAGTGAAAAATCACAAGTCAAACCATGTTAAGTCAGAGACCACCTGTATACCCCCAGAAGTAGAATTGCTAGATCATATGCCAATTCCATTTTTATTCTACCTTTGATTCTGTTTTCCATAGGATTTGAGCCATTTGACATTTCCGTAATCAGTGCACAGGGGTTCCAATTTCTCTATGTCCTCCAAACACTTAATAATTTTGGTTTTTTGATAATAGACATCCTAATGGATGTGAAATTGAACCTCCTTGTGGTTTTCATCTTCATTTCTCTAATGATTGGTGATGCTGAGTTTCTTTTCATGTGTTTATTGATCACTTGTATGGTTTTTTGGAGAAAGATGTACTCAAGTCCTTTGCCCATCTTTTAATTGAATTATTTTGTTGTTATTGATTTTTGGAGCTCTTTGCATACATTTTGGATATTAACCCCATTTCAGATATAAAATTTGCAAGCCCTTTGTATTTTAATTCTGTTATATTGTCCTTTGATGCATAAGATTTTCATTTTGATATAATCCAGTTCTTACAATTTTTTTGTTCCTATGCTTTTGCTGCCATATTAAAGAAATTATTGCCAAATCCAAAATCATGAAACTTTTCCCCCTATTTCATTCTAGGAGATTTATGGTTTGATGTTGAGGCCTTTGACCAATCTTGAGTTAATTATGTATATGGTATAAGATGAACGTCTAACTGCTTTCTTTTGGTTGTGAATATTCAGTTTTCCCAACACACTTTGTTGAAAAGACTCTCCTTTCCCTATTGAATAGCCCAGGGCACTCTTGTCAAAAATCATTTGACTATTTATGTGTGGGTTTATTCGTGGGCTCTGCATCCTATTCCATTGCTCTGCATGTCTGTCTTTATGCCAGTACCATAGTGTTTGATTACTATCACTTTGTACTGTTTTGATATCAGTTAGTGTGAGATATCTAGCTTTATTATTCTTTTTTTTTTTTCAAGATTTTTGGTCATTTGGGCTCCCTTGAATTTCCATATGAACATGGGATGTTTTTCCTTTCATTGATGTTGACTTAATCCATTTTTTGCTGCTTATAACAAAACACCACAGACTGGGCGATTTATAAACCATAGAAGTTTCTTTGGCTCACAGTTCTGGAAACTGGGAAATACAAAACTGAAGGGCCACATCTAGTGAAGGCCTTCTTGCAGCAACATAACATAGCAGAATGTACCACATGGGAAAAGAGTGGATGGGGGAGTAGCTGAAGATAAATTTATCCTGCAATCAGAAGCCTGCTTCTGCAATAATGGAATGAATCCATGCTTGAGGCAGAGCCCTGGTGACCTTATCACCTCTTAAAGACCCCATCTCTCAACACTGTTGCAAAGGCAATTAAACTTCAACCTAAGTTTTGGAGGGAACAGTCATAAAAAATGTCATTAATTTCTTTCAGCAATGTTTTGTGGTTTTCAGTATACAACATATTTTTCACCTTCTTAAGTTTCTTTAAGTACTTTACTCATTTGATATTAATGTAAATGAGGTTATTTTCCTAATTTCCTTTTGGGGATTGTTTGCTGGGTAGAGAAACACAACTGATTCTTATGTGTTGATTTTGTGTCCTACAACTTTGCTGGATTTAGTAGTATTAACATTTTTGTTGTTTTTGTTAAGTATTTAGAGTTTTCTACATTTAAGATCATATAATCTGGACTGGGGTTGTGGCTCAGCGGTAGAGCGCTCACTAGTACCAATGAGGCCCTGGGTTCTATCATCAGCACCACATAAAAATAAATAAATAAATAAATAAATAAATAAATAAATAAAAGATCACATCATCTGTGAACAGAAATAATCCATCTTCTTTTCTAATTTGGATCCTTTTTTTTTTTTTCTTTTTCTGCCTAATTGCTCTGGCTAAGACTTTGAATACGATGTGAGTTAGAAGTCATGAAAAGAAATAAGCTGTTCTTAAAGGAAAAACTTCTGGTATTTTCCCAACAAAATAAAGATATTGCATCCATCTATAACTTAGAAAAAATAAAATATATATAATATATAAATATTATTTATTAAAATATTTTTTATTTATATATGACAATGGAATGCATTACAATTCTTATTACACATATAGAACACAATCTTTCATATCTCTGGTTGTATACCCAGTATATTCACACTAATTTGTGTCTTCATACCTGTACTTCGGATAATAATGTCCATCACATTCCACCATCATTAATAACCCCATGCCCCCTCCCTTCCCCTCCAACCCCTCTGCCCTATCTAGAGTTCATCTATTTCTCCCATGCTTCCCTCCCTATCTCACTATGAATCAGACTCCTTATATCAAAGAAAATATTCGGCATTTGTTTTTTGGGGGATTGGTTAACTTCATTTAGCATTATCTTCTCTAACTCCATCCATTTACCTGAAAATGCCATGATTTTATTCTCTTTTATTGCTGGGTAATATTTCATTATGTATATATGCCACATTTTTTTATCCATTCATCTACTGAAGGGCATCTAGGTTGGTTCCACAGTTAAGCTATTGTGAATTGTGCTGCTATAAAAATTGATGTGGCTCTGTCCCTGTAGTATGCTGTTTTTAAGTCCTTTGGGTATAAATATAAAATATTTTTTAGTTATAGATGTATGCAATATCTTTATTTTGTTTATTTTTATGTGGTGCTGAGGATCAACCTAGTGCCTCACATGTGCAAGCAACCACTCTGCCACTAAGCCACAACCCCAGCCCATATTTTTTTTAAATATTTATTTTTTAGTTGTAGTTGGACACGATACCTTCATTTTTATTTATTTATTTTCATGTGGTCGAACCCAGGGCCTCGCACATACTAGGCAAGCGCTCTACCGCTGAGCCACAACCCCAGCCCGCTATCAAGTATATTATTTATGGAGTGTACCTATGGCCTTTATTATGTGAGGTAGTTTCTGTTTATTCCTAGTTTGCTGAGTCCACTTCCTTTTGTTATACATGACATTTGAGTAAATTTCTTAAAATTAGAACTTCTCTGAGAAACTCCCTTAATCAATGCTTTCTGTTTCAAAGTATTTTACAAAGAATCTTGATGGTGAGTGGGAGTGCAGCAGGAGGGGAAAACAGATTCTGATATGTCCTCCCTATGGACTCAGCTGTTCTTTCACTCTTATCTCTCTTTGTCCCTAGATATAGCCTAGTAGTAGCTACATGAAATGAAAAGCCTAGTTTTCATTTTATGCTTCACAAAGTGCAAATACAGTATGTCACTCTTTGACATAAAATTCATTGTAAAAGATACACAATGTGATTCTTTTAATCAAATTTTGATTAAATAAAATTCTTTTTGTTTTATGCAAACCACATCGAATCCTAGGCAAAATATGAAGTAGGTGTGGCTCTCTCTGGGTGGCCCATCACTTCCCTGGCCAGGCCCTCTTGACAGCTCCACCTCTTCCCAAGTTGTATTAGCTCTTGCCATGGAGTACTTATTATCAGCCAGGCATTGTTCTAAGTGTTTATCTCCATCAATTCACTTAAATGTACAATCAACTATATGAGGCAAGTGTACTTCCTACACATTTTTAACTGATATATAAAAATTGTGCATATTTATCATGTACTACATGATGTTTTGAAATATGTGTACATTGTGGAACAGCTAAATTGAGTTCATTAACATATGTATTACCTTGTGTACTTATCACTTTGTGAGTGTGTGTGGTGATAACATTCAAAATCTTTAGCATTTTTAATGATAACATTCAAAAACATTCAGCAATTTTTAGAACACAATACATCATTACTATCATCACCATGTTGTGCAACAGATCTTTTGCACTTGTTCTTTCTGTCTAACTGAAACTCTGTACCCTTTGGCAAATGCCTTCCCAATCCTTCCCTCCCCCTGCCTGCTCCTGCTTTCAGCCCCTGGGAAAACCAATATCTACTTTCTACTTCTGTGAGTTCAACTTTTTTGGATAAGTGAGATCATGTACCTGACTTTTTTCACTCAGAGTCATGTTCTCCAGGTTCATCCACATTGTTCCAAATGCTAGGATTTCCTTCTTTCTCAAGGAATTTAATTGCATATGTACACCATACTATTTTCTTTTTTAAAAAATTTATTCTAATTAGGTATATATGACAGCAGAATGCATTTCAATTCATTGTACACAAATGGAGCACAACTTTTCATTTCTCTGGTTGTACACGATGTAGAGTCCCACCATATGTGCAGTCATACATTACCTAGAGTAATGGTGTTCATCTCATTTTCACCATCTTTCCTGTCCCCATGCCCTGTCCCTCCCCTTTGCCCAATCAAATTTCCTCCATTCTTTCCATACCCCCACCATTATGAATCAGCATCCACTTATGCGAGAGAACATTCAGCCTTTGGTTTATGGAATTGGCTAGAGCATACCAAACATCCATCATCTGTTGATGGACATGTAGGTTGATTCTGTATCTTGGCTATTGTCAATAATGCTGTAATGAACGTGGGAGTGCAGTGTCTCTTCAACATACGTATTTCATTTCCTTAGGATATATAGCTAGGATCATATGACAGTTCTATTTTTAATTTTTTGAGGCATCTCCATACTAATTACCATATGATCATACTAATTTACATTCCCACCAACAGTGTAAAAAGATTCCCTTTTCTCCACATCCTCATCAGCCCTAATTTTACCATTTTTTAAAGACACAATGAGCTATAATGTGAGGTTATAGATCTCATTGTGGTTTTAATTTGCATTTCTCGGATGATTAGTGATGTTAAGTATTTTTATGTATCTGTTGGCCGATTGTGTGTCTGTTCAGGCCCTTTGTCTGTTTTTAATTCAATTATTTGTTTTCTTGCTGTTGAGTTGTTTGAGTACCTTATACGTTTTGAATATTAAACTCTCCCCATATTTGCAAATATCTTCTCCTGTTCTAGTGATTGTCTCTTCACTCTGTTGAATTTTACTTTGATTGTACAGAAGCTTTTTGGTTTAAATTGGTCTCATTTGTCTATGTTTGTTTTTTATTGCCTATGTTTTGGGGATCATATCCAAAAAGACATTGCCCAGACCAATGGAGCTTCTCACTATGTTTTCTTCTAGTAGTTTTACAGTTTCAGGTGTTACATTTAAGCCTTTTATTCATTTTGAGTGGTGCTATACTTTTTATTTTCTTGGTGAATATTTAGTAATTTGAGGTCAATAGATATACATTCTTTACTCAGCCATTTTTAGAATGTTGCCCTTTTTTTAAATTTTTATTGTTGGTTGTTCAAAACATTACATAGTTCTTGATATATCATATTTCACACTTTGATTCAAGTGGGTTATGAACTCCCATTTTTACCCCGTATACAGATTGCAGAATCACATCAGTTACACATCCATTGATTTACATATTGCCATACTAGTGTCTGTTGTATTCTGCTGCCTTTCCTATCCTCTACTATTCCCCTCCCCTCCCCTCCCCTCCCCTCTTCTCTCTCTACCCCCTCTACTGTCATTCATTTCTCCCCCTTGTATTATTTTTCCCTTTCCCCTCACTTCCTCTTGTATGTAATTTTGTATAACCCTGAGGGTCTCCTTCCATTTCCATGAATGTTGCCTTTTTTAAAAAACAGGAATATTTCCTACAACCCGATCCAGGAAATTCAAGCAGATCAATTTGATTATCTAGTCAAACTCAAGTCTCTGTAAGTACACACATTGGGGATAGTTTTATGATAAAATCATTATTTCAGTACTGACAACGTATATGTTTTAGAAACTTTCTTATGAGCTTTATTTCGGGGATTTTAGTAAATCTCTATAAAAATATAAAGATGAGTGTTTGATGGGAACAAGCAGACAGGTATTACTTTTGTATTACATGTTAATTAAAGTAAAAACTAAATAATAAGGGGCTGGGGATGTAGCTCAATGGTATAGCACTTGCCTAGTACATGCTAGTCCCTGGGTTCAATCCCTAGTACTGAAAAAAAATAAGTAATGATAACTCATTTTATATTTTTCTGTAAGTCACTAAGAACTTAAATTGTTTGCTTTGACTTTATGAAGGTATCTATGCATATTGCTCTTTTAGTTCTGGGTGTTTAAGAATTTATTAAAGGCATCCTTACTCTAGGAGGGAATATTGTATATCATGTAAATCATAACTTGCACCAAACACACACACAAAAAGACAAAATTCTGTTAACATCTAAGAATTGCCTTAAAATATCAACTTTAGTTCATTTAATTTGTGTTTTCTCAGTGAAATATTTTTTTAGAAAAAAATTGTTACCAAAAATTATTAGAAAATTTTCAGATGCTAAACTCTATGGCAATTTTTTCCAGAAAGTAGTGCTTGTTCACTTATTCTACAAGTATTTATTGAGTATTTAGAATGCAAAAAGCATTGTGCCATGACTTGTGAGGATCCAAAACACTCAAATAGGGGAAATATATGTTTTTGCATAACACAATCAAAAGGAGGAGCTGGGGAGGTGACTAGGGTAAGCTGATTATGAATATTTCATTTATATTGTGTTTACTAAAACATTTTATTAAGTTGTCCTTCAAAAAAAATTATTTTATTATATCATGTTTAACATATGTTTTTTGATTACTATTAATTTGGTATTTTTAGCAGCCTAGAAGGAATTGAAATTTCAAATATCCAACAAAGGATGTTTAGACCTCTTAATCTTTCTCACATGTAAGTTGATATTCTTGCTCTTCAACTTTATTTAACTCTTTAAGTTCGCACATGTATTGTGATAATATATCTGTACCCAATGCATTAAAATCTATTAATATGTTAGTTAATTTGCCAGCTATATACTGAACATTTGCATCCCCTCCACTCCAACAAAATTCATGTGTTGCTATCCTAACCCCAATGTGACAGTATTAAGAGGTAAGCCTTTGGGAGGTGATCAGGTTATTAAGGCAGGGGCTGGGGATATAGCTCAGTTGGTAGAGTGCTTGCCTTGCGTTCAATCCCCAGCACTGCACACCCCCCCCAAAAAAAAAAAAAAAAATATATATATATATATATATATATATATATATATATATATCTCCATCCCTAGGTTATTACAGCAAAGCCTTCATGAATAAGATTTATGCTCCTAAAAAGGGCACTCCAGAGACCTCCCTTGCCCCTTCCATGATGTGAAACATAGCAAGAAGACAGCCATCTATGAACCAGGGAGCAGAACCTCACTAGACACAGAAACTGCTGGCACCTTGATCTTGAACTTCCCAGCCTCCAGAACTATGAGAAATTATTGTTTAAGCCACTCAATATATAGCATTTTTGTTACAGCAGCCTAAACAAACTCACATATATATAAACAATAATTAACTCTAAAAACTTTGACATTGGGTGGATGATTTTTAGTTTTCCACAGTCAAAAAGAATTTCATAGGAGACTTTGTAAGCATCAGCGAACATGAGTATAGGAGGAACCTACTCTTTCTTGTAAGAAGCTCTCAGCTCTGATAATATAGTCACAGATATTGACATTTGCCTAATGAGCTAAGAATTTGTACACATGGTATCAGAAGAAGTAGAAACATATATGTGTTTGTATATATACATATATAACAATATAAAATAATCATAAATAAATAATTACTGTAAAAGAAAGAAGGAAGGGAGGACTTCTCACTGAAAAGGGTCCCCAATGTCCAAGCATGATCAGAGCAAGCATACATGAAATGGAAACTTTGAAAATTTTTATTCAAATGGTGTGTTTGGTTGTGCCTTTGATTATATGCTTTAAAAGTATTTTTAATTGATTTCCATCTTATCGAAAGCATTAAAAAAATCTCCATAACATGGTAATTAATTTTCAGTAAGAAGTGTCTTATCAGTCACCACCAACTCTGTAATCTTGCTTATACTTTAAGTCTACACAGGGTACTGTTTTTGTTTTCCATAATTCTTCAGAGAGTGCTCTGTATTGATTGCACACAAAACAGTCTGCTAAATTAACCAAAACAGTTTATTAGGGAAAAAATAGTATAGCTCATGAAAGCTAAGAAGTAACTAAAAAAGCAAGCTTGAATTGGGTAGGAACCAAAGCCAAAAGAGTTAAACAGCAGTCTCCTCCAGGCACTGCTGATCTGTCTAAATATTGTCAGTATGACTCAAGTTCCAGGAAACAGTCTAATTGATCTTGCTTGGGGATAAAGGAATGCCTCATTGAAGTTTCCATATGACTTCTCATAGGGAGAAGAAGTAATTCCCTCAAAGGAAATTAGTATACTATTACTAGATGGGTGACTTCAGGCTAAGCTCCCAAACTAGCAAACAAAGGTCTACAATAACGTTATTGATTAAAAAAAAAAAAAAACCTAGGCCTAAAATACATAAAGCAAAGGAAAAGGGCAGTCAACACTCCTTCTTCCCTCACATTCTGCTCTCATAGCCATCAAAGTTCAAGAGAAAAGTTCACAGGATGGAACTATCAGCAATCAAACTTGAGTGAGATGGGATAAATTGTAATCATCAAGTTTTTGTCTTTCATTACTATGGCTCTTGAAAGTGTATTTAGAATGCAAAAAGCATTGGGGTTAGGATAGCAACACATCAATTTTGTTGGAGTGAGGGGGATGCAAATGTTCAGTATATAGCTGGCAAATTAGTTGAACATATTAATAGATTTAAAGTGTAAAGATACTTTCTATGTTTTGCCAGCACACATGGCTTTAGAGCCAAATAGATCTAATTTGAATTCCAATTTCTACAATTACTAGAAAATTTCTTAGGAAATAATTTGCCTCTGTTGAAGATTCATCTCCTTTCATGGGAATACCGACACCTATATGTGGAGTTTGTTTGAGAATGCATTCCTGTTGCCTAAAAAATGCTCAATAAATGGTGTTGGAGTTGTTAGCAACACCATAGTACTTATTAATTATCCAGGTGATGTCCTTTTTTTCAATTTCTTTTTTTAGTCGTCAGTGGACCTTTATTTTATTTATTTATATGTGGTGCTCAGGATTGAACCCAGTGCCTCACACATGCTAGGCAAGCTCTCTACCACTGAGCCACAACCCCAGCCCCAGGTGATGTCTTTATCAAGAAGCAAGTTCTCTACTGATGAAAGCATTTACTCAACAAATAGTCATTGAACCCTTAATTTTGTTCCAGTGTGAAAGATAAGCATGTCACCAGGTATTACAGATACCATAGTAACTTCTACAACCGAAAAGTCATGGAAGCCTGGAGCAAACCTGTGATCCAGTGACTTGGGAGGCTGAAGCAGGAGGATTCCAAGTTCGAGGCCAGCCTCAGCAACTTAGACCCTAAGCAACTTAGTGAGACCCTGTCTTGAAATTAAAAAAATAAATAGAGCTGGGGATATAGCTCAGTGGAGAAGTGCACCTGAGTTCAGTGCGCAGTACAGAAAGAAGAAAGGAAGGAAGGACATAGATGCACAAAAGAGAAAGCGCTTAATTTTTTCGCCTGTGGGCTAAAAAGCAAGATCAATGCAATAGAGTAAGCAATGGAGCTGTCAAACAGTGCATTTATAGAATGAATGCTGATAGTTTCTTTGGCTAAATTAATTTGCTCACAAGCTAACACTTCATTTATATTCTAAGACATGTTTAACACTTTTATATTCATCGTGTCTTTTTTGCTCCTCTCACTCACATATTCTTTGACAGTGAAATCAAGTTAAAGAGTATTAAATTTAAAACTTCAGGATCTCTAGTGCTTTGCGTTCCTCTGAACCTCATATTAAGATATCTTCCATCAACTGAGAAAATGCTGAAAATAAATATTAGTGTATGGTGACACTGAATTAAATCTAAAATCTTATTTTGTCTTGCCTTTGTATACCAGATATTTTAAGAAATTCCAATATTGTGGATATGCACCCCATGTTCGCAGCTGTAAACCAAACACTGATGGAATCTCATCCCTTGAGAATCTTTTGGCAAGCATCATTCAGAGAGTGTTTGTCTGGGTTGTATCTGTGGTTACTTGCTTTGGAAATATTTTTGTCATTTGTATGCGACCTTATATCAGATCTGAGAACAAGCTGCATGCCATATCAATCATTTCTCTGTGCTGTGAGTATATCCTGGTTAAAGAGAAACTATAGTTTTGAAATAAACAAAAGCATTTCTATTAGGAAAAAAGTTCTACAGGTGATATAATTGTGGAATTTTAAAATTTTTCTTCTTATTGTTTATGTGTCATTTTCACATTTTCTACAATAAAAATAGAATTACTTTAGTGATAAGAAAGTTTTAGGTTTTAAAGTAAAAATATTCAGTCACCTTACATAGATTAATGAAGCTTTCATTCACTAGTTTTCTCTCATATAGTGATTCAGAAGGGATATTTTGTTAAAGCATTTAAAATCTTCTACTACGAGTGAAATTGTAGACTTCTATGGTCACATTTTTACACCCACAGTGATGCTTACATTTTTGTTTGCATGTCTAGTTCGTAGACAGTGACTTAGCAGCTAGTTATTTTTCTGGTCTCTGAGCTACTAGAAGCTTTTCCATTTATAACTTGAAATATGTAAATAAAAATGCTTTCAGATAAGTACTAACTTTTTAAATGTTTTTGAAATATGATTACAAGATATTTTGTTAATGAGGATTACAAAGAAAAACAAGCAAGAAACCTGTCCTCGGGATGTTTACAGTTTGGGTCACATAGTATAGAATCTATTTAGGATCCCTTAAGCAAGTAAAATGTCAAGATGTTCATTGTTTTATGTGTTCTGTCACATGAACTACCCCCAAGCTTATTCAAAGTCTAATGGCTAATTGCTTTTTTCCTTACAAACTATGTAAGAAGCAGAAGTTCAAATGTTTACCACTTTGTACTCTTTTACAAAAGTTTGAGTTAAGTTCAATTTTCCTAATGAAGGCTACAGTCTAACTTCAGTGTTAAAGAATTAGGGCTAGCCTTGTGATTTATATAATGATGTGATTTTAGGGACTTAGTGCAGAATGTTTGCACAGTCAAAATATTTCAAGCACTTTCTATTTGCTTAAAAACCAAAAATGCCAAGTAGTATACACACTGAGAGCTGATTTAGGGAATGAGAGAACCTAAAAGTAGACAAAGAAGGTTGTAAAATGGGGAGAGAGGACAGTTTTGCTTAGGACAGCTCTAGTAAGTAATTTAAGCCTCCTAAATTGGACCGACTGTGAAACCCTTTGTAATTATTTGTATCTTCTAAATTGATAGACTTCAAAATTCATAGTCATTACTCCATCACAGAAACTCCTGAATTACTTTCTTTGGGTTTTTGGATAATATCCTCAGCTTGTTGAGCAAGGAGAATTTCAATGGAAAATCTGAAACATTCAACAAAATTGGACTTTATTCATTTATTCTACACTTTCAGGTGATGGGTCTATAATGCAGAACAAAATAGACAAGTTCTTGCTGTTATTGATTTGTGTTTTAAAGGAAAATGGAGAAATGCTTTGATAATTAACAGTAGATGGTTCTAAGAGTGGTTACCAAAGACAGTTGATGAATCGGTCCTCATCAGTAAATGAATTTTGGTTTTGGTGGGGCTGGAAATGAACCCAGGGCCTCCCTCATGCTAAGCATGCACTCTGCCACTAAGCTACACCCCCATCTGGTGAAATATTAGGAGAGGAAAATTACTTCCCCCTAAGACAGAAAAAAATGGTTTATTTTTTCCAATATTAAAAATATTATTACTGGGATGGGTTTGTGACTCAGTGCTAGAGGGTGTGCCTAGCATGCCTGAGGCCCTGGGTTCCACTCCAACGTTACACACAAAAAATTCTTGCTTCTTGATGAATTCATTATGCCTATTATTTCTCTAAATTTATGAAACTTTCTGATCCCTCTAGGTGCTGACTGCCTAATGGGAATCTATTTATTTGTGATCGGAGCATTTGATCTCAAGTTTCGAGGAGAATACAATAAGCATGCTCAGCTGTGGAGAGAAAGTATTCACTGTCAGCTTACCGGATCTCTGGCCATTCTGTCCACAGAAGTATCCGTTTTACTCTTAACATTTCTGACATTGGAAAAGTACATCTGCATTGTGTATCCTTTTAGATGTTTAGGACCTCGAAAATGCAGAACAGTAACAGTTCTGATTCTCATTTGGATGATTGGGTTCATAGTGGCTCTCATTCCACTAAGCAATAAGGATTTTTTCAAAAACTACTATGGCACCAATGGAGTTTGTTTCCCTCTTCATTCAGAAGACACAGAAAATATTGGAGCCCAGATTTATTCAGTGACAATTTTTCTTGGTAAGAAACTTTATTTTATATGTCCCTTTATTAAATTTTGAGATAATTCACAATAAGAAATTCATTGTGCCTTCTAATGTTTCCAAATTTTTATTTCAAATCTTCTCATTCGTTTTTCTTAGTGAGAATTTAAATTCTATCAGAATCCCCAAAAGGTATTCTTTTTTCCTCCAAATCGCTTTTTTATCATATAACTGTCAATCTGATGCACTCAGTAAAAGGAACTAAACACTAGAGTTTCATGTATTCACCCTAATATCACTAAGCAAAATATTTTAGCTCTTTGACACATATATTTACAATATGAACATAATGGTATTTATTATCTTTTCAAATTCAGGATTGTAGCCACATAATCTTGGCCTAAGATTATACATACAACTGTCCTAAACTAGCAATATAAAAATATTCTTGAGTGTAGCACAGTGTAATTGAATTATGAAAAAAATGACTAATACAGAAAGTTAAAAGCCCAGGCCCAAGATATTTATTAAATTACCAGAATTTTACCTTAATATGCCATTTTAAAAATTAAACATCTTATCATTCTTTATTATTTCAATAATACTTCAACTTAAAAAAAAATTCTTGATGGGCTGGAGATGTAGCTCATCAACACAGTGCTTGATCCTGGGTTTCATACCCAGAGCTGCAAGGAAACTCAAGATTTAGGGGCACCTTAGTAATTCTGTATGGAAAAAAAAAAGCATAGCCTTTGAATCTTCAGTAATAACACCTAAGGGCATGTTTTATTTGCTTGTTTTGAAAAAATGTGCATATACATTATTACTATTCTTTGTTTTCTAAACAGGTATTAACTTGGTGGCATTTATAATTATAGTTTTTTCCTATGGAAGAATGTTTTATAGTGTTCATCAAAGCACTGTAACAGCAACTGAATTACGGAATCAAGTTAAAAAAGAGATGATTCTTGCCAAGCGTTTTTTCTTTATTGTATTTACTGATGCATTATGCTGGATACCCATTTTTATACTGAAATTTCTTTCACTTCTTCAGATAGAAATACCAGGTACAAAGTTTTTTTTTTCTTTCTGTAAAGAAATAATAAATCTGTGCAGTGTTCTTCTGAGAAAGGCAATTAAAATTCCTAACACTAACTAGTTTCAAGAATTACGAGTGAAGGTTTTATGTACTTACACTCCGCTCATCACTAAAATGTTTCCTGAGAGGAAGCTGTTCCATTCTTTCCATAAAAGTCTAATGATACAATTACTAGGGGGAAAAGCCTGAAACAGCAGCTCAGGAGGCTAAGGGAGGAGCATCACAAGTTTAAAGCCAGCCTCAGCAATTTAGCAAGGCCCTAAGCAATTTAGTAAGACTCTGTCTCAAAATAAAAAATAAAAATGGGCTGGGGGTGTGGTCCAGTGGTTAAACACCTCTGAGTTCAGTCCCCAGTTTCAATAAAATTACTGTGGGGGCAACAAAGGGACAATAACCAATATCCATGACATGCAGGTTTGAGATCAATCGCATGCCCAACAAGGAAAACAGAAATAGCAAAACAGTTATCAAATAATTACCTCATTTTTTTCAGAATGTAAGAAATTTTTCATCCTGTAATATATGTAATTTAGAGAACATTACCCTAGAGTGTGAGGAATAATAGAAGAAAACACTGTTATCATTTTAAAACAATGTATATCACATCCCTTAGGGTGGTTATTATTTTCAAACACATAGAAAATTACAAGTGTTAGCAAGGATGTGGAGAAATTGGAACACTTGTGCATTGTTGACAGGAACTTATGGTGTGACAGAGATGGAAAACAGTATGTAGTGATTCTACCAAAAATTAAACATAGATATATCATATAGTCCAGAGGTTCCACTTCTGGAAAAATACCCAAAATAATATAAAGCAGGGACCCAAATAGATATTTGTATGTCTACATTCATAGCAGCATTATTGACAAAAGTCAAAAAAAGAAGCAATACCAGTGTCCATACATAGATAAATGGATAAACAAGATGTAATATATATACACAACAGATTATTCTACAGCATTACAAAGGAAGGATATTCTGACGCAGGCTACAATGTGGATGAACCTTGAAGACCTTATGGAAAATGAAATAAGCCAAACACAAAAGGACAAATACTTTATCATCCCTCTTACATGAATAAATGCATAGAACCTAGAATGGTTGTTGCCTGGGTTTGGGGATGTGGAATGGAAAATCATTGCTGAACAGGGATAGTTTCCACATGGGAAGTTGAAAAAGTTCTGGAAATGGATTGTGGTGATTATTGTACAACAACATGAACATCTTTCATGCTACTGAACTGTATATTTAAAAGGGTTTAAATGGTAAATTTCATTATGCATATTTAACCATAATAAAAAAAGCCTTGTTAATGGTAATATATGCCATATATATTCGTGTTTTTTAAATGAGTTTTATATACTAAATTATAAAATTGAAATTTTATATATATGCATAGAGATATGCACATAAAATTTTAATTTTGTTTATCTTATAGTATTTATGAACCAAAAAAAGACAACATCAATTAAATTATAATAAACATCTGAGGGCTAGGCATGTACGTCAGTGGCAGAGCACTTGCCTAGTATATGCAAGGCCCTAGGTTCAATCCCCAGTACCACAAAATAGTTTTAAGAAAATGAGTATTTGGTAGTTGCATTTATGCTAAGGTGATTTATTTTTTCTAGCACTAGGGATCAAACCTAGAGCCTATGCATGCTGTGCAAGCAATCTACCTCTGAGCTACATCCCCAGCTGCTAAGATGACTTTTACAATGAATTTATCCAGAGATGTTTTTACTGGAATGAATATTTGGTCAAAAGCCTAAACATTCATATCTATTTTTTAAATCAAATAATCAAAAGGAATCTATTAAAGAGAAGTCTACATATTCTGAGGAATACTGTATGTGCCACCTAGTAATTAAAACATTTGAAAAGGTATAATTTAAATACTGAAGGCTGGTGCTTCCTAAAATGAAATCACACTACTATGTCATGACTTTGTGGCAAATTTTCCTACCTACTGGAGTACTTCTGTTGATCTACCTGGGAAAAGCTACTTAGCAAGTAAAACTGTTTCTTTGAGTCACCAGCACCCCCATCAAATATTGGTGTTCAAGAAATATACCTGAAAACAATATACCCTTGATAATTAATTATGTGTCATCAAAGGAAAAAAAATAAGACTCAAAAGGGGTTGAGGGTAGAAGATACTGGAAAGGGGGTTTCTACACCTTGTAAACGTATATACACACTCAGTCTATTTAATTTCTCTCTTCCAGATACCATAAATTCTTGGGTTGTGATTTTTATTCTGCCTATCAACAGTGCTTTGAACCCAATTCTTTATACTCTGACCACAAGACCATTCAAAGAAATGATCCATCAGTTTTGGTATAACTACAGACAAAGAAGGTCTCTCAAGAGCAAAGGAAGTCAGAAAACATACACTTCCTCATTCTGGGTGGAAATGTGGCCACTGCGGGAGATACCACCTGAGTCAAAGAAGCCTGCTGCTTTCACAGACCCCTGTGAAATGTCACTAATTTCTCAATCAACTCGACTCAATTTCTTTTCATAACTAACCCTGAAACCCATTTCTTCACAGAGAATACTGTAGAATGCTTCAGGAGGCATTTCATAGTATTAAACAAATACCAAAAAATTAATAATTTATAATAATGTCTAAGACAAATCAGTATACAAGGACACAAGGAAAAATAAAGAAGTTAATGCTCATACAAAGGAAAGTAATTATATTGGTAATGCATATATATTAGATATACATTTTGCACAGAAAATTAAGAGATATATACTCAGAGAAATTAATTCTTCTAAAATGCATTTATTCAGTACCCACAGTGCACATTGCATTTCAGTTAATTGCCAGAAGTAGACAGTACAGAATCTCTTCAATCTGTAAATTGTGTTTAACTACAAAGGCCACACAAAGCCCGTCAGCCGTTCCTAGTTTAGAGCTTCATCTGTCATGCATAAGCAAACTTAAGAATCATAGACATTTTTAAGTAAAGATTTAAGGTTTTGGAATACTCAATATAACAGCATCAAAGAAAATGTTTAATTGTTTCCAAAATATTAGTATTTTGTTTTAAGGATCCTTCTTGATCGGGGGGTATAACTTGCTGGTAGTGCATTTGCCCAGCATGCACAAGGCCTTAGGTATGATCACCAGCACTAGGGGGGAAAAAAGAATACTTATTATTTCTCAAGTCTTCATACACTCCAATAAAACACCTTTATTATTACAAACAAAGGATGCTTTGCTATAAATCCAAAAACAGCACCTCTCTGTCACTTCCTGCACATTTTGTGCTTTGGTTTAAATGAAAGTCATCGCGTGGGATTGGAAGAGGAATGAGAATGTTGCAAAGGAGTAAAGGTGGAAAGCTAGCATTGATAAACAGATCAATGGAACAGTATTGGGAGTTCACAAATAAACCCTCACTTATTCAGTCAATTGATTTTCAAGAAGAGTGTCAAGATCGTCACATGAAGAACATCTTTTCAACAAAAGATGGTGTACTGGCAGGATATTCACATGCCAAAGAATAAAGTTGGACCCAAACTTCACAAAATATATATAAAGCAATTCAAAATGAATCAGAAACCTAAATGTAAGAGCTAACGCCATAAAATTCTTACAAGAAAACATAGGGGTAAATCTTCAAGACTTCGGATTCAGCAAAGGATCCTTAAATATACGACAACAAAAGCATGAACAACAAAAGAAAATAATTTGAATTTCATCCACTTTAAAATTTGCTGTGCATCAAAGGTTATCAACAGTGAAAAGACAGCCTTCCAGGATAAAAGAAAATATTGAGCATTATATATCTGAAAAGTGATTAATATCCAGAATACATGAAAAATTCTTACAACTTATACAACAATGAAAATTTTTAAATGAGCGGTGGATTATAATAAGCATTTCTCCATAGAAATATAAAACTGGTCAATAAGCACATGAAAAGATGTTCAACATCACTAATTATCAGGGAAATGCAAATTAAAACCACAATGAGAAAACACTTCACACCTACTAGAATGGATAGTTATCAATCAATAAAAAAATAAGTAAGTGTTGGAGAGGCATGTAGAAAATGTAAATGGTGCAGCCCCCATGGAAAAGTTTGGCAACTCCTCAAAAACATTTAAAAATAAAATTACCATAACTCAGGGGCTGGGGTTATGGCTCAGTGGTAGAGTGCTCACCTAGCATGCATGAGGCACTGGGTTCGATCCTTAGAACCACATGTAAAATAAAGGTGTTTTGTCCACCTAAAACTAAAAAATAAATATTTTTTTAAAAATTACCATAATCCAGAAATTTCATTCTTAGATACAAACCTCCCCAAAAAATTAAAAGAGGACTCAAATATATACTTTCATGCAAATATTAATTGCAGCATTACTAATACTAGTCATATGATGGAAACAACTCAAGTGCCTATCAATCAATGAACGGATAAACGAAATGTAGTATATATACATACAATGGAATATCATTCAGCCATTAAAAGAAATGAAGTTCTGATACATGCTACAACATGAAGAATATAAGCTGGATATAAAAGGACAAGTACAGTATGATTCCACTTACTTGAAAAATCTAGAATAAGCGAATTCATAAGAGACAGAAAGTAAACTAAAGATTGCTAAGGGATGGGTGGGGATTGAGAATGTACTAAGAATTGCAGGATATCTTCCTGGGCTTAAAAAAAAAAATGTTTTAAGATTGTGAGGATGGATAAACGATTTTGCAATTATGCTAAAAACCATTGGATTGTATCCTTTGGATGGATAAATTTTATGGGTATGTGAGTTATGTCTCAGTAGAGCAGCTAAAAGAAAAAAAGAGCTAGACTGCACTGATTCAGGAACCTAACTTCAGGAAAGGTTTGCACTTAGATGTTTCATACCAAGGAGAAAATAGTTGTCATCAAAAGATAGCTTTACCTTCTATTTGCACAACCAGTTCATAAGATTTAACTTTTTAGCTACTTGTTCTTCTGTGGTCTCTAATTGGTCTATTAGAATTTCTTGCTTTCATAATTTGAAACCTTTAAACAAGTGGGAGTGTTCATGTAGCTTAAATACAGCAAAAATGATTGAAACATAAAAATATGGGAAACAAAAATATTTGCATTTATTGAATATATAATTGTATAGACTCATTTTGAAAATAAACTACCTAAAAACGTGGATTACTTTAGAGTTCCTACTGTTTGTACTTGGAATTGTCACAGGAGAAGAGATATTTCTGAGGGAAAGTCTGAGGAATTCCTGGAGAGAAGGGGAAACTCCACTCAAGATAGTGGGGTCCTTGGCATTCGTTCTAGAAAGAATTTCAGCACGTAGCCAGGCGGCACACGCATATAATCCTAGCAACTCTGGAGACTGAGGCAGGAGGATTAAAAGTTTGAGGACAATTTAATGAGGCCCTAAGCAATTCAGCAAGATGCTGATTAAAAATTTTAAATTTTTTTAAATTTAAAAAATAAAAAGGGTTGGGATGTAGCTCACTGGTAAAGTGTCCCTAGGTTCAATCCCCAGTACCAAAAAACACACACAAAAATGTGAATTTCAGCATGTGCCAGTCAGAGACATAGATTTATTTAGGAAAGCAGAGGCACTTTCAAGGCATAATGTGGGCTATCATAAGAGTAAGAATTTTTGGAAGTAAATCAAGGAATACACATTCAAAGCAGAATATGGACCATCTCAAGAAGGAGAAACAGCAAACTGTCAGTATATCATGTTAATATTTATAGAGGGACAGTTGCTAGGGGTTGGACTAAAGGAGGAGTCATGGCCAAGTTACACAATATCTCACTTGTTTTCCCTGCACTTGGCATTGCCCCAGTTACTTTTTGCAGGCCATCTCTTGGGTCAAGGGCAAGGGTTGCGTTGCTCAGGAATTACAACTGTTCAAGGATGTTTTCTGCATTTTCAATGGTTTGTGGGCCCTTACTTTGAGATTCAGTATTTCTCCCTTTTTTTGTATCCCCAAATTCCTATCTCAGAATGATCACAGTAAATTTTCTATACGAAAAATGTGAGACACTTTCAACAAAAATCAGAACACATAAAGCTATAGTTCTGCTTGTAACATTAAATAATATAACTACTAGTATTTTAATTATAATAAATATTAAAATATCCTACAAAAATAATAAAATCTCCACAAATGAACACATTTACATTCTTTTATAAGATTATTTTAGAATTATTCATTATTCATTATTTAGTAGTTCTAACTTCTAAATAGAACTTCTAAATAATAGAAAAGTTCTAAATCATAGAAAAGAATTTTTTTTAATATCTAGGACTGGAGATGTAGAGCGCGCACGTGCGCACACACACACACACACATACACACAAAATTCTAAAATGAAAGAAAAGCAATAATCATGAAAAAAAAGGTAAAAAAAAAAAGGTAGAAAAAATTTATCCTACAAAAATCATGATCCTAACGTGTTTAAGTGTCTTAGAAATGCAAAGGATTTACAAAAATATTCATCTGAAACTTTTTATATTTAAAATGTTTTAGAGGATTTTCTAGATGTCACCCTTCCCCCTCCCCAGAGTAACTTTCATTTAATTTAACTTGATAAGTAATTACTAAGGTTCCACATAACTAGCTTCTACTAACTTCCATAGGAAGTGCGAAGCACCAAGTTAATTCAAATACAGGTCAAGGTTTTCTCAAAAAGATAATTTTGGACCGGGGGTAGTGCATGCCTGTAATCCCAGTGGTTCAGGAGGCTGAGACAGGAGGATCACAGATTTGAAGGCTGCCTGGGCAACCTTGCAAAACACCTAAATCTTTACACTTGTCTATCCCAATTTCCAGTACCTACTTTGGACCATCATGTCTCATGGGGATATTTGCAAATATCTTTAACAAGTCTTTGTATCTTAGGCTCTAATTTCATCAGGTGATTCTTATAGAAGGTTTTTAGAGTTCTCAAAAATAAAGTCATCTCAGGGAAAAATTGAATGTTATACAAATACAACCATTTTATTTTTGAATAGTATATTACTAAGTTCTCTGTAGGAAAAAATATATATGTATATGCATCTAAATTGTATGTATTTGAAAGAATTACAAGGAACTGACTCCTGTGATTTTGCTGGCTGATGACCCAGTTCAAGTCTGAAGGGTGGCAGATTGTTGTAGAACCAGGAAGAGCCAATTCCCAGTTCAATGGGTGTCAGGCAAAATCCCCTTTTGCTAGAAAGACAGTCAACCCTTTGTTCTAGTCAGACATTCAGTGATTGGTTGAGGCCACCTATATTACAGAACGTTCTCTACTTTGCTCATTCTATAAATTTAAAAATTAACCTCATCCAAAAAAAAAAAAAAAAAGAAAGAAAATCCCAGAATGCTGTGTTGGACCATACACCTGGACACCTGTGGACCAGTTAAATTTACATTATAAAATTAACCATCATCACAGGCTAGACATGGTGGTGCATGCTTATAGTCTGAGCACTTGAGAGGCTGAAGCAGAATTGCTTGATCCCTGGTGGAAGACCCCATACCAAACAAAAATGAACTTCTCTGTGCACTACACATGGTAATACCAATGTAAACAAAGCTAAGCTGTGGGCTACTGGATTCCAAACACCAGCAGCTTTAAGTTTACAGCTAAGGAATTAACAAAAAATGCCCACAGAACGCTTGCTATAAAATCCTTAGGAGGAATTAACCTAAAATGACTGCAACTCAAAACAATTAGAAATCAATAACATTTTTTTTCTTTTTTAACTTACGCGGTAAGCAAATAGATCAAAGAAAAGAATAGGGAGCTCATAACTGGCACTTTTACATGGTAAGTGAACAATAGATGTTGCACTGAAACAAGAGTACTTGGAGGAACAGATATACATGCAAAAATAAAAAAGATTCTAAAATCATACAATAAGAAAAAAAATTTCAGTTGGATTAAACACCTAAATATATATTTTTTAATTATTAGAAGGACTAATAGGATAATATCTTAATGACATTTCCTATTTAAAAAAACAGAACTACTATAAAAGATTGGTAAGAGTACATTAAAAATAAAAACCATTATTCAAGGAGACTCCATAATCAAAATAGAGACAAACCAGTCTAGATAAGGTGGTTGAAATATACCTAACAGATCAAAGACAAAAATTAAAAAAGGACAAAAATAGGGTCTCAGAAATCATTCACTGCATTTTCTTGATATTCTGGTGGTTACACACATCAGCACTACTGAGTGGTGCCCAGGGACATGGATAGCAGCAGGCAAGGGACCACTAGGGCCATCTGCAGGCCAGCTACCAAATACAAATACATAAACAATAGTTTGTAGTGCTTCAAAAAATACCTGTGTACTAAAAATATGAACACACAAACTAGAATATACACCATCTCTAAGACAGTAGTTACTTTTAGGGAAGAAAGGAGGGAACAAGATCGAAGAGGTAAGTAGGCTTTCAATATATCTGAAATTAACATTTACATTTACACACACACACATAAATCTGAATAAAATAGGAAAATGCTATTTATAAAATCTTCATTGTAGGAATATACTGATTCTCTTTTTTTTTTAAGTTGAAGATGGATTCTCTTTTTTTTTTTAAGTTGTAGATGGACACAATATTTTTATTTTTATTTATTTTTATGTGGTGCTGAGGATCGAACCCAGTGCCTCACACCTGAGAGGCAAGTGTTCTACCACTGATATATACAACCCTAGCCTGGAATACACTGATTCTTTAAATCGATCATTTGTCCTATTTGCAATATATCAAAAAACTTTAAAATAATAAGCCCAAAGAAATGGAAACAATATTTGCTTTTAATAAGTTTATTTTTATACATTTTAAAAATTGCAACTTTCAGAATATATAAGAAAAATATTTTTATAATACTGAAGTAAGCATCTCTTTGGTATAAAAATCACACAACATGTGTGATCTTTAACTAAAATAATTAATCAAGAACTATGACCTAATATGCTAAACAAAACTATTCTTTGCCCATCCATATGTCCCCTTGCATCACCCCCACTATGGGGCTTTAAGAATATACTTCTGTACACATCTCCATATCTACAAAGAATTAAGATGCCACATCAAATATGTTTAAAAATTATATATAGTAGAGCATTAGAACTAGCTTAGTTGTTGACACACGACACAAACCACCAAAAAGCAATATAAGATACAAGACACATAAAATAGAACATTGTCACTGAGATCAAATAATATGAAAACAATTACTTCATTTAAATTTGATATACTCGAAACAGGGCAATTTCTTTAGAATTATTATGTAAGTAACTTGCAACTCAGTACTGAGTCAAAAATTTGATAAGGTATTTTTAAGATAGTACTCAAACATTCAAAACGTAAAATACAAGAAATATTAACGATAAAAGCAATTAACCACAAATAGGGCAAAAACATGTATTCTTTCCAGACGTGTTTTCATTTCAGACATCCTTTTTTAAAAAGCATCTTAGAAAGGCAAAAAAAAATTATATTTAAGAAACTATCATCAAAGTTCATATCCCCATTTAAAAAACAGAATGTTTTCCTTCAAGTCAATGAAGTTCAGATTCATACACTTTTGAAAAACAATTACAGTCTTCATGCTAAAAACATGAAGGAAAAAAAGCTTTTAGTTATGTTTCTCAAGTCTTTTATTCAACAAGCATTTAGCAAGTATTGTGTGACACTGTTACAAGTGCTGAGGATATAAAAGCAAGACTTAGTCACTGGTTTTGGAGAATTTACCCTAATGGAGGTGGATTCATCATTAGAAACCTTAGTTACCTCCTTTGGGCCATAAATTGAAGCTCAACTTCAAATTCTACTATTCTTGCATCTTCTTTTAAATAATGTTCTGTGTAGTATGCTACTGGTAGCCCTGTGGCACTATTAACATTAATTATCTACTGATGGAATTAACTTCCATAAAGGATTCTACAAAAGTTTAGATGACAGAAAGTATTTAAGAATAAACAAATATTGGTCTGCATCAAAAATATCAGTATTCTGCTTTCATAAAAGTCAAGAAAAAGTTCTGTGAGTATACAGAACTGCTGGAAAGAGATCATCCTATGTATGCAGTACATGTGCAAAAATCGTATGTTAAGAAGTATGTTACACAGTCCATTGCTGGAACAGCTAAGCAGGCCAAATCAGTTGTCAGGTTTCAAAGAATCATAGCCTTCTTTCAGGAGGTCCCGCCAGGTTTTAAGGAAACGTGCATTTTCTGTACATTTGAGGGCAAGCTCTTCCACTTGAGCTGATACTGCAGATGTGGCTTCGAGAAGTTTGGTTAGAGAAAAAGCTGCCTGAAATTTAAAAAAAAAAAAAAAAAAAAAAGTTTATTTTTAAAATTCTCTTCTCATTTTATAGTCTAAGTTAAATTCGCTCAATACTTTAAACCCAATGCCCAAATTATTTTCTTTAAAAGTAATAGATTTTCAAATTAAAATGCTAACTCTTTCAGGAAACCTAAGCAAACACTGTTCCCAGATAACACACCAGGAATTAATTTTACATATGTACTTGTAACCAGTCTTATTCTGTAAAAATAGATCCTGATTCATCGAGAGAGGGGGGGGGAGGGAGGGGGGGAGGGAGGGAGAGAAAGAGACAGAAGGAAGGAAGAAAAAGAAAAGAATTTGTCGAGTTCAGTCCCCAGTTTCCAATGTGCACAGGAAGGTCTATTCCACAAGTTACCCCAGGAAGGTCATGCATTACAAACTTCACTCCACTTGCCCCACTCAAGCGTCCATAAATACGGAATTTGTGACCCCCACCACTGGGCTCCAATGGTATATGTGATAAGGTTGGGAGGCTAGATGCTAGTTTCTGAAAGTCGAGATTTAATAGAAATCTTCCAGACTATGCATTCTAGCGTTCATAGGGAGAAGTCCTGTACTAAACAGTTAAAGAAACCGACAGAGACGTCAGGGGCTGTGACTAAGCCCTCCCAGATGGGTCCAGCGAAAAGCAAGCCTGGGAGACAATAGCATTACCAGCTGGCTCTAGGCAGATGGCCAAGTAGAACAGCGAGCTCTAAGTCCCTCCGAAAGAAATCACAGCTGGGTCCAAATCACCAACAGGCAGCAAGGCTACCGGATCGCGCATTTAAAAGTGGGAGAAGAGTGGGCAGAAAGATCTGGCACCAACAAACGCAGATGAGATGCATGGTTTCGGGTTACAGCAGATGATTGAAACCAGAAGTCGAAGCAAAAAGACAACAGGGGTGGGGCGGTGGAGAGATAGCTCCTTAATTCCTCGACTCGAAATCTAAAGGCAGAATTTCTGTATGGGCTGGCACTTCAGCCGTTGGCATCGCCCACCCTTCGGATGTGGGAGCTGGTGTAGGGCTGGGCCCGGCTCCCTCCGTCTCCCGGGCTCGGTAGGGTCTATCATAAAAGAGAATCCCCAAAGGGGACGCGGTCCCAGACTTCTAGAGCAACGCGACACTCACATCTCCTATCTGCAGCTCCACTTCCTCCAGCGGATCCACGGTTCGGCCGCTGCTCCTGCTCGAATCCCGCCAGCCCAAACTCATTGGGACACAGGGGGAAGATGCTGAAGAAACGTCGGAAGAAGAAGGAGAGGAGGGAGGCGGTGGGGGAGGCGAAGAAACACGAAACTCCTCAGGGTCAGCCATGGGAAAAGGCTGGGACCGCAGAGCCGGACCTAAACAGCAGAACCGACACCAACAGTCTTTCAATCGCTCGCGCCCAAAGCCCAGAGGCTCCGCCTCCTCCCCCCCGAAGTCCCGCCCCGTCCTCTCGTGGATCTCAGTCCAAGACCACGAAGACTTTTCATTTTTCGCGACAGCCAATCAGACGTCAGTCAAGTCACCTTGGGCGGCTCACCGCTCCTGCGCAAACCTCCAGTTGGGCCTCCAGTTCTGTCGGGACAGAAGACTACAACTCCCAGGGTGCTGTGCGCGTCTCCCGACTCCTGCTGTCTCTTACTGCTCGTGCGCATGCGTTTTCGGGGTACCTTGCGCGACTCTCCCGCCCCAATTCGGCTTTAGAGCTGGAACTTTGGCCTCCTGGTGCGTGGGTCTAGAGGAAGTGCAGGCTCAATCCTCAACCTGAAGCCGCAGGGCGCCTGGGACTTGAAGTCTCTTTCTCTTTTGCTACTTGACCCGGAAACCTGTTTTCGCTGTCGCGTCATGCGTGGCGCCCGCGCAGAGAGGGAGGGAGGCGGGGACGCCGCGAAGCAAGGGCGGTCGGTGCACCCGAAAGGCAAACTTTAGCCGGAGAGTAGTTGTATCCTGGCAGGTGATGGCGCCCCCCGCGGCATAGAGGTCCAGCGCCCTCCGCGAGCCTCAGACAAGTTCTTCCGTGGTGTCCGACAGAGAAAGTCCTGATTATTTTGAACATGTTGGTGCGGCTAGCCAAGCTGTCCTGCCCGGGTGAGAGGGAACTCCTGGTGGGGACCAGTGGAGGAAGGTGAAGGAGTTTGGGCAAAACAGACTAGCCCACGCCTCGGGGCTGTAGACACCCCTCCCATCCTACCTCTCGTCTATTTTCTCAGACTAGACTGGGGCAGAGGTCGACGCTGTCTGCCTCTGGAAATGGACCCTGGCTTCCTTCCCTTGGGGTTGCCACAATTGGAAGAATTCATAACTAGGTTAAAGGTCATGGGCAGAGGAAAGTTGTCAACACGGCCCCCTCAGTGGACTTCTGAATTGAATGTTCCCAAATCTTGGTCCTAATGCACATCCCAAAGCTCAGGTGCTATATGTTGCCTTGTTAAGAGTGGGAAAAAATAATATTTGTACAGTTTTTCTTCTTGGTCCTGACCTGACTCGTCTTGCAGTCATCCTAGTCCAGTCTTAAGAATTTGAAGTCAAAAAACATTTATGTACAAGTGTTTGTGTGGATATGTTTTCATTTGTCTTTGAAAACCCTGTTTAACCTGTTTCCCAAAAAGTTGTACCATTTTATATTCCCGCTAGCAGTATGTGAGGTTTTCAATATTTCCACATCCTTGCCAGTACTGTCTTCTTGAATATAACCATCCTAGTGGATGTAAAGTGGTATTTCGTGGTTTTGATTTGCATTTCCCTATGTTCAATGATGTTGAGCATCTTTTAATGTGTTTCTTGGGGAAAACATCTATTCAAATCCTTTGCCCACTTTTTAATTGGTTTATGTGTCTTTTTGTTATTAGATACAAGATTTCTTTGAATAGACTGAAGATATTCTAGATACAAGTCTCTTATCACATATATGATTTACAATTATGCTCTCCCTTGTATGGATTATCTTTTCGTTTTCATTTTTAAAAAATATTTTTAGATGTAGATGGGCATAATAACTTTATTTATTTTTTTAATGTGGTGCTGAAGATCAAATCTAGTGCCTCACACATGCTAGGCAAGTGCTCTACCACAGCCACAACCCCAGGCCACTTTTCACTTTCTTAAGGGTATCCTTAGAAGCACAAAAGTTTTTCATTTTGATGAAATGCAGTTTAATTATTTTTTTCTTTTGTTTGTGCTTTTGGTTGTCATATCAATGATTTACACCAATATTTTATAGTTTTAACTCTTATATTTGAGTCTTTGAACTTCTTTTTGAGTTAATTTTTATACTACCATAATATTCCACCATGCGACCAGCGCACTGGTTTCATTAAAGAGGTTCTTGGCATAAAAGTTAGCTAGTGAGATCAAAATAAACACACAGACTCAATTACCTTTTTCTATGACCAGGTCCTAGACTGCTCTCACCTCTCTGGCTCACACCTCAAACCACCCGGTAGAGCAGCAAGGATTACTCAGGGCTAGCAGGAGAGAGAGGCAGAGCACGCCTGGGAGTGGCCTTTTATTGGAAAACAAGAAATTCAGGGGAAAATTCCATCCAGTGAAGGTCGAGGGGGGCAGCACTCCAAGGTCAGGGTCAGTGATTGGCCTCAGGGTCAGTGGTCAGTCACACCCCCACACAGACAGGCTCTCACACCAGGAGAGGGTGGGGAAAGCTCTGACACAGTTTAGCCAGAGTGCCTCACACCCAATCCGGGAGTTGCCCAATCACGTGTGAGAATGGCTTCCCACACATAATCTTTTAACTTTTTATTTCAAAATAATTTTTAACTTAGATGAGTTGCTAAGATAATACAGAGTTCCCATATACCCTTTGCTAAGCTTAATGTCTTACATAACCATAGAATAATTATCAAAACTGAGAAATTAACATTAATGAAATACTACTAATTAACTACAAACTTTATTCAGATTTCCTTTTTCTGTTCCAGTATTCAGTCCAGAGTACCACCTTGCTTTTACTTGGTCTACTTAATTGTGACAGTCCCTATATTAATTCTTATCTTTCATGACCTTGAGACTTTTATGTATATTTGTCAGGTATTTTGTAGAATGTCTCTCAATCTGAGTTTGTCTTGTGATTTATCTTGATTACAAAGAGGTTAAAGATTTTGAGCATGTATTCTGTAGAAGTGAAGAATCGTTTTCATTGCAGCATATTGATGTATGATACCAATAGGTCTTGCTGGTGATATTTAAACTTGATCACTTGGTTAAAGTCATATTTCTCTACTGTAAAGGTGATATTTTTCTTTTTTAGTATTCTTTCTTGCTAGAAGCTATTCTGTAAGTCCAGCTCACATTCAAAGGGAGGAAAATTAAAGATTTTATGGGCATATCTCAGTTTCTTATACTGTGATATTTCTGTCAAAATCTTTGTTGAAAGGGAATTTATTTGGCATAAGGAATAGGATATACATTTTTCCAAATGGCTTTCATCTATTTTTGACTATTTTTGATAGGCACTAATAAGTGACTATCTCCTCATGATTTGGAATAGCATCTTTATCATATACACATCCTTTTGTGTATTCTACTTCTGAACTCTTTTTATTTGTTCATTATTCAGTCCTTTCTCTTGTTTATTAGATAGTTTTTAAATATCTAAAATTCACAAACTTTGTGACCAAATGCTAACTGAATTGCCTATCTAAGAAAGAATAGAATCTGCTCACATTTGAATCATTTTTTAAGAAGCCATTCAAGCGGGGCTCAGTTTCACATGCCTGGAATCCCAACAGTGGCTCTGGAGGCTGAGACAGGGGGACTGCAAGTTCAAGGCCAGCCTCAGCAATTTAGCAAGCCCCTGAACAACTTAGGGAGAATCTGTCTCAAAATAAAACATTGAAAAAAAAAGTTTGGGGATGTGGTTTAGTTACCCCTGGGTTCAGTCCCCAGTACCAAAACAAACAATAATGATAAAAAAAAAAACCAGTCATTCAGCTTATGTTTTTTCAGTTTACTCCTAACGAGAACTAATTTTAAAAAATAAAATAATGTTCATAATTTTTATACAGCCTATCATTGCTTTCATGCCTTAAAAATTAAGAAAAATTATCTACCTCTCTGTGCTACAAGATGGTCTTCAACTTCTGTTGTACCTCAAATCACTACCCACTATACTATTTATCCCCGGGATAAAGACAAGCGATGGGAAGGTAAGTAATAATTTGTGTAAAATTGTTGAAACTTTTCTAGATACTTTATATCATTTTGCGGAGAGGAATATTTTATTTTTCATGATAATTTAAAATCATCTAATAATATTTTATGGCTTTACGAAGTATGTTATATATTACTACATAGATAAGTAAATATTTAATAAATTTATGATAATCTCAAAGTCAAAAGTTGCTTTATGGAAGCTAACATAAGATATGCGCTGGGATAGAACCTAAGAGAGCATCAAACTTATACAATAATATATGTAGTCTCTTTATGCAAAACAGAGGGAATTTCTATAAGTAACACTAAAGCATAGCAGGTGGTTTGTATACCAGCATGTAATTTCTTGTGATTATTAGGTCATATTAATCTTAATATTAAAATTAATTAATATTAATTTTATTTATTTTTAACAGGAGTGAACATGGAAAGATTTGCAGAAGAAGCAGATGTGGTAATAGTTGGTGCTGGCCCTGCAGGGCTCTCTGCAGCTATTCGTCTAAAGCAATTGGCTGCTGAACATGAAAAGGACATCCGTGTGTGTCTAGTGGAGAAAGCTGCTCAGATAGGTGCTCATACCCTCTCAGGGGCTTGCCTTGATCCCTGTGCTTTTCAGGAACTCTTCCCAGACTGGAAGGAAAGAGGGGTATGAAAAGTTGCTTCTTTTTATAGAGTCTATACTGTATCTCTTTTTCCAAATTACTGGAATAGAAGAACCCTTATCATGTAATTCTTTTAGGGGGTAATTATATACATATGTATAGATGTTTAAATTTGAAAATTGCAAGCATGTTGGCTCTTATCAGAATTATAATATATTGGCTCACTGTGCACTGTGGTGCACACTTATAATCCCAGCAGCTTGGGAGGCTGAGGCAGGAGGATCACGAGTTCAAAGCCAGCCTCAGCAAAATGAGGCGCTAAGCAACTCAGTGAGACTCTTGTCTCTAAATAAAATACAAAATAGGGCTAGGGATGTGGCTCAGTGGTTGGGTGCCCCTGAGTTCAATCCCCAATACCCCCAAAAAAAAAAAAAAAAAATTTTTTTTTTTTTACTCTTATTTTTATATAATGCCTTCTACATATTATATTTATGTACTGGACTTATGGGAAGGCATGATTTGGGAAAGATCCATGAGTATTTGTGCTTTTTTTTATTTTGAGGATTCTTTTAACTTATTTCTATAGATATTTGTATTATTGTTCTTAAAGCATTATATAAAATTTTCTAGAACAATGTTATATCTAAAGCCAAAGAGGATAATGTAATTTTCTAAAGAAATTAGTTGCTGTGTCCTCTCATGACTTACCAAAAAAGCTACAGGTGTGATATACAGAGGACCAAGAGCTAGTTTTACTGCTTTCAAATAAAATTTCTATGAACTTTTTAAAAATCTTACAGTCTCCGTTTTTTAATGCCTATCCTGTTCTAGGGTTAGAATATTCAGTGTCTTTTAATACTCTGGCTGAAGGACAAAATGTTTATAAATTTGGGGCTGGGGATGTAAGTTAGTGGGAGAGCACTTAACTAGCATGTATGAGGCCCTGAGTTTGATCCCCAGCAACACAAAAACAAAACAAAAATCAAAAAAGTGTATAAATATCATCTGTATTCTTTTTATATGGAGTAAATTTCATTTTGCTCTCCTTTAAAAAAGATTGTACTCTTGAAAATAAGAGTAATTTTGCTCAATTAAATATTTGGTTAATATTATAGCAGAAATATCATTGAATTATTATCAGCATGATATCAGTTCTGATAGAAAACATTTTTTGTGTCAGACCCCTTTATTGCTTTGGTACATACACATACACACATGTAGGTACATACACACAAACACATACATATTTGGCAGATGAAATTCATTGCATGTATGTTAATTGCTTTTATCCAAAGGAAAAATAAAACTTTTCTAATTTTTTTTTTCAAAAAGCAAGAAAATTCAACTTGGAGTCAAGCATCTAGGCCAAACTCCTATAGGGACAGGGAAACATAATGTTCACATTGCAAAGATGTTTCCCAGACCCCCAAGAAAGGGGTTTCTGGGATGCAAAACTGGAAAGAGACTTATTTGGTTTTTAAAAAGATGCCCATCCACTCAGAAAGACAGAAAAAGGATTTGCAGTTAAAAGATTTTCAAAGGAAAGCCTGAAAGGAAGGTGAGGGAGGGGATTCCCTTTCCACATTGTGTCAACTAAATTCAAAAGGTAGTTGGTTTTTTGTGGGGGTTTTGTTGTTTTGTTTTTGTTGGGGTTTTTTGCCCTTACAAATTAAAACTAAAAAGTTTTCTTTCTTTTGTTTCTAGGCTCCACTTAACACTCCTGTAACAGAAGACAGATTTGGGATTTTAACAGAGAAATACAGAATTCCTGTGCCAATTCTTCCAGGTAGAAAATAGTTCTAGAACAGAGAAATTCCACACCTGAAAGGAAGTACATTTCATTTAGAGAAATTCCTTCCTTTGCAGATGAGAAAACTGATATTCAGAGATTTGAAATATTTAGCCAAAGATATACAACTAACTGGTGGGAAAGCAGGAGTAAAACCCAGTTCTTTTGACTTCCAGTCTGGAAAAATCATGATAGCCTTGGAAGCCAAGCAGGAATTTTTAGTTTAATGTTTTTAATTTAGTAAATTAGAACTAAATTAAATCAAAATTATAAAAAGTATTGAAATTATGACCATCAAGATAATGTATACATATATGCAGAAGTACAAGTTGATTAGAATTAAAAAGTATATTTAAGTATTAAATTAAAAAGTATATTTTTAAGATGTTTATTAACAAAAAAGTCAGATTTACAAATTAAGCATGTATTTGTAGGTCTTCCAATGAACAATCATGGCAATTACATTGTACGCTTGGGACATTTAGTGAGTTGGATGGGAGAACAAGCAGAGGCCCTTGGTGTTGAAGTGTATCCAGGGTATGCTGCTGCTGAGGTTTGTATAGTCTTGTTTTTAATGTTTGTAGGAAACAATTTCTTTTTCTTCTGTAAATAAACAAAGAATTTTACAGAGGTGAAAATATATTTTAGAAATGGCATAGGAATTAACAATTATAAGATTGAGGAACCTTAAAAAGATCAAATCTGAAAGTACTTGAATTCCAAGTAACTTGAAAATTACTCATCAAGTAATTTTCCAATTTCTGATTAAACACCATAAGGAATGAAAAATACTCTTCTGGGTGTGTAGACTAACCTCTCCCTTATATTGAACAGAAAATACTATTTTATGCTATACAGAACAAATACATATACCCTTTCAAGGACAACTTTCCAATTATATTTATGCCTTGCTGTCTTCTGGCTTAAGTCTAATATAGAACAGGACTGTTATCTTCTTCATACTAGAAACTTCTTCTATTTGTTCCCTGAAAGTAATTTTCTTGGCAACTACATCAAACTGTTGATCCTCATTATGTGTTATTGGGAAAATTATTAAAATCTTCTGCCAACCCAGAAGAATTGTCTCCACAAATTGTTTAAAATAAAAGAAATAGCTTTGTTATTGAATGAACATTAAACCAAGACTGCAAAGAATGTCAAGAAATCTCTCCCTTCTAAAGCAGCAAACAAGATACAATCTGTTACAAAATACATAATAATTGTCATTATTGAAAGGAAGAATAAAAGTTGTGTTCTTTTGATAAGCAGCACATTACTTGGACTCAGGCAACCCAAACTCCCACAGAGACAGAAAGACCTGATGGCATCCTCCTTGATGTTCACATTTCAGAACATCAAAAAGAACCAAAGCCCCAAGGAGACATCCTTGGAATGTAAAACTGTCATTGTGTTTATTTAGATTTTTTTAAAAGACTCCCATATATCTGGGACAGATTAAGCATTTGCAATTAGAGCTTGGCTAGAAGAAATGCTGAAAGGAAAGTGAGGGATGGGGCAGTTTTCTTTGGTGCTGAGAAAAATTCAGATTTTAAAAATTTGTTTTGACCATTATAGTATATAAGTCAAATAAAACACAGATCCCTGTTATACCTGTTGTTACAAATTTGTTTTCCCAGCTGATACATATGCATTTGGTTTTTTGGACCCCAGTGTGGGATTTACATTTCTCCTTATTAGACATTCTTGATTGGGATCAGTGTCAAAATCACAGGTAGGTGATTTGTAGAACCTATGATTTTCACTTTTTGATTATATGCACATACTGAGAATGTCTTGTCTTTCTCCTCTTTTCCTCGTTTTCCCCCCATATCTTTTCCTCAGTTCTTTAATGATTGTTGCCAACAGAAGATTGATCTATTTTCCAGTTTTGTTTTGATACCCTAAACTAGATTTCAGTTCATTTTTTCCCATATCCATTCCTATTAACCCTTGTTTTGCCTTTCTACTCTCCTTTCTTTATAATCTGTCGTTTGTTTCCTCTCTGAAGAAAAATGCTCTTTGGAGAGAAAAGTACAAAATGTGTAATGGAACCAATATAAGGATTATAGAGTGATACTGTTTCTCATTTGCAGAATTACACTTTCGATCTATCTTCCTCCTTCCTTCTTGATCTGAAAATAAACTATAATCACCACTGGGAAGTTTTTACCCTCCTTTTGTTTTTTGGGGTCCCAATTCATTGAAGTTAGGCTTTTCTTCAAAGTTTCTTTCTCTATCCATGTTATTAGCCTCTCATTTCAGATTCTTTACATATGATTTTATATCTGAAGAGAGTCTCTTTTTTAATATTATCAGTTTATTTTACTAACCTCTTTTTGCCTCCTCCTTTTCTTCCTCATCGGGCTTGTGGCATTGCTGTTATTTCCATCAGTATGATTCATGTTCTTTTGTACTCCAGAAGAGAGTACCTCAAAAGCATGTCTCTTTTTTGCCTTAACATTTCAAAGCCTGTGTTTCTATAATCTAGAGAACATGTTCACATTCTAAGAAATCGAAGGCTGTTTACTCTTCCTTTTCAAGGTTAGTATGAATCCTAAAGTGATAACAAATTTGTTTTTGTCATTTTAGATCCTTTTCCATGAGGATGGTAGTGTAAAAGGAATTGCCACTAATGATGTGGGAATACAAAAGGATGGTGCACCAAAGGTAATAGTAACATGGCTACCAAATTGACAAAAAAAGAGAGCACACTCAAACTCAGTAATTAGGTCTTGCTCCAACTATACATTAATTATGTGGGTTTTAGAATATAATTATTAGTATGGAATATTTGTTAAAAAATATAGAAGCAATTTGAGCTCCACATGATTTATGCAAGTAGATATAACAATTAAGAATAACTTTTTAGGGCTGGGGTTGTAGCTTAGTGGTAGAGTGCTTACCTTGCGTGTATGAGGCACTGGGTTTAATTCTCAGCACCATATATAAATAAAATAAAAGTCCATCAACAACTAAAAAAAATATTTAAAAAACAAAATGATTCCTTTAAAAAAAAGAATAATTTTTAAATAGATACAATAATTCATGCAAATATACAAAAAAATACATTTCAAAATTTTTACTTCATTCAGTTGATAAGGCAATCAATAAGATATCACTATCGGTTCAATGAAAATTCAAAACACATACAAGTGTATATAGGTCATCAGTCACCTGCATTGCCACCTCCACAATTTTCATTCCTATGGATAAGAATCATTTATATTATTATCAGTAGGTGAACAATGATAGACTTTGACCTGATTTTAACCATCAAGTCCTTTGGTAGATATAAAACTGGTTGCCTTTCTCTCATTCAAAATGTACAGCTGAATGGTTTTCACATTTTCACAATTTGTGTTTTTGAATCTGAGGAAGAAAAACCATTAGTTTATAGAGTTCTCACCTATAAGGTTCATTGGAAAAGACAAGAAAAAAGTACATTGCTTTCCAATTAGAGCAAAACACAAATTCACATTCTAATTAACTACATATCTGTGCTTTATTATCTGATTTCGCAACTAGATCATAAGCTTCATGAGGACAGAGACGAAATGATCTAATGCCTGGCACCATGCCGGGTACATAATTAGGTCTCAGTAAATGTTTGTTTATGGATAGTTGATACCCCTTTCTACCACTTTTAAAACTAGGACTTTGTCTAGTTTGCTCCAGTAGATCTTCATGCTTCTCATTACTTCTTGCTGAGAAAGCAAATGGGGCAAAGCTTGTAAGTTATACCTATTTCAGGGGTCCTCCTATATAGCAATTTAAGTGGCTACATCAGAATCATCTGAGGTATTAGGGTTCAGCAACTCCTTCAGTAGAGATAAAGAAACTGGGCTTTGGGGATTTGTTTAATATTGGGGACTGAACCCAGAGATGCATTACCACTGAGCTATATCCCTAGCCCATTTTTGCTGAGGTTGGCCTTGAATTTGAAATCCTCCTGTCTGAGCCTCCCAAGTCACTAGAATTATAGGCATGTACCACCATGCCCAGGAAAGAAACTGTTTCTTTTGTTGTTGTTGTTGTTGTTGTTTTGTTTTTTTGTTTTGGTACTGGGATTGAACCCAGGGTGCTTAACCACTGAGCCACATCGCCAGCCCTTTTTATATTTTATTTAGAGACAGAGTCTTACAGAGTTGCTTAGAGCCTCACCAAATAGCTGAGGCAGGCTTTGAACTCTTGATCCTCCTGCCTCAGCCTCCTGAGCCACTGGGATTACAGGCATGCACCACCAGGACTGGCTAAGCAGTTGTTTCTTAAAACATGCACTCAGAAATTCCGAGTCATTGCCAAGTGAACAGACAACTGTTATCTTATAGTAACAAAAGAAAATTGGTTATTTTTCCTACATTATGACAATAATTTATCAATATCAAATAACTCATTAATGGCACAACAAAATTCACACAAATTCTACCATTCTGATATTTCATTTTTTGTGTTCTCATATTTGTTCAAAATGTTTTTGTGTTCTGTGCTTTATATTTATAAAAATATATTTTGTATATTGTATTCATATAGATATGAAAGCATAGAAACGGGGTTTGGTAGCATACATAGTGGTAGGCCAAAGCAGGAGGATCACTTGAGCCCCTGAATTGGAGACTAGCCTGGGCAACATAAGACGACCCCATCTCTTAAAAAAACATATTAACCTAAAAGAACATAGAAGAATGTAATGGATTCTTGGTGTTTGAGACTCAAAATCTAAGTTTTTTAAGTGGAAAAAAAAAAAATCAAGGATTCCTCTGCTTCCTCTATTGTACCATTCTCTGTTTAACCCAGGTTTTCCTCCCTGACATTTTACTGAAACAGCTCGTTAAGAGTCATATACCTTAGCTTGCCAATTCACTAGTCTGTCTTTTCTTACTTCACCTCCTAGTTTATACATCTATTAACATGAATAAACACTTCATAAGAAAAATAAGTTACCAAAAAACATGAAAAATGTTCAAACTCAAGTAACCAAAGATAAGTTAATGATGAAATAATTCTTACCACTGAGACTGAAAATATTTAGAACCTAGGGTATTGATCCTAGCAGTAATTAACATTGAAACAACCTAAATGTTCAACTATTGGAATTTGGTTGAAAACTTGAGAATCTGTTCAAATATTGAAGATAAGTGCTTTATTTGATGTATATTGCTTTAGGCAAATCAGTTTATAATGTGAAAATAATTATAAATTATGTCATTTTAAACCTCTTAATTGTATGACTATATCTGTGCACACATATTCATGCAAACATATGAATAGAAAAGCATTAAGATATATTTCTAAGAGATTTTTTCCTGATTATTTTTTATTTTGTTCAAAAATTTCATTAATAGAGCATCTACCATGTATCAGACATAAATGCAAAATACATTACAAGAGAAAAATGCTCATTGTAGTTCATTTTATAGTAGGAAAAAGCATTTCATGTCATAAAAATTGTTCAGCAAAAAAGAAAAAAAATCAACTGAAGAATTTAACCTGATCCTATAAAAGGATATAAATAAGCTCTCTATAATTTTCTATTCATAGTAATTTTCTGGAATGATTCACAAGAAAGCTATTTAAGTGGGTTTTGCTGCTAGTAGTAAAACTGGAAAATCAGGAACAGTTGGAAAATGACCTTTCCACTTTATATGCATTTGTAGAGGATTTTTTTTTTTTAGCATGAGCATCCTTTATTGTAAAAACAAGACACAAGATATAAAATTTAAATTAGATTCCACTTAAAACAGTATTCTTTGGCAGTTATCAAGAATACAAGCAATGTGTTGGAGAGGATCTGGGGGCGGGGGGAAGGTGTACTCATACATTGCTGCTGGGATTACAAATTGGTGCAACCACTTTGAAAAGCAGTGTGGAGATTCCTCAGAAAACTTAGAATGGAACCACCATTTGACCCAGCTATCCCACTCCTCAGTCTATACCCAAATCAGCATACTGTAGTAACATAGCCACATCAGTGTTTATAGCAGCTGAATCATAATAGCTAAACTGTGGAAGCAACCTAGATGCCCCTCAACAGATAAATGGATAAACTGTGGTATATACACAATGGAATATTACTCAGCATTAAAAGTGAATAAAATTATGGCATTTGCAGGTAAATGTATGGAGTTGGAGAATATTAGGATAAGCTAAGTAAGCCAATCTCAAAAAACTAAAGGCTGGGTGTTTTCTCTGATTAGTAAATGGTGATCTGTGCTGGGGGTGGTGCATGGGAAGAATGGAGGATCTTTGGATTGGGCAAAGGGGACGGGAGGGAGGGGTTAGGGGGTAGGAAAGAGATAGACATCATTACCCTATGTACATGTATGATTGCATGAATGATGCATCTGTACATTGTGTACAACCAGAGAATTGAAATGTTGCACTCCATTTGTGTATCATGAATTGAAATGCATTCTTCTGTCATGTACAACTAAGTAGAAAAATAATAATAATAAAAAACAGTATTCTTAGTTCTGTTCCTATTATATTTTTGCATTGTCTTTTCTATACCTGAGTTAAGACTGAATGGAATGTGTATGTTATATTGTCATTTAACATGATTTTCTTTTTTAGACAACATTTGAGCGGGGACTAGAACTACATGCCAAAGTCACAGTTTTTGCGGAGGGTTGCCATGGACACCTAGCCAAGCAACTATACAAGAAATTTGATTTGAGGGCTAATTGTGATCCCCAAACCTATGGGATTGGACTGAAGGAGGTATCCTGATTTGTTTTTACAATTCTAATTTTGATATGTAGAACTTAACTTTCAATTAAATTTATTTGTATTTTTCATTGACTTGAAACATTCATTAAACTAAAAATACTTGGGATAGTTTTCAAAGGGCTAGAAAATATTATTGATCAAATTATTATCTAAATTATTACATTTTGAAATTGTTTTATCAAGTGATGCTCAAATGAGTCTTGGAAATATTTAAACCTTGATTTTTTTTCATAATAATACCATCTGCCCTAGTAGAATCAGACCTGTTATCCATATGCTGTTGTAGCATAGCCACATTATACAGAGAAGTGTTTATTCAAAATTATAAGGTGAGCCAGGCACAGTAGTGCACAACTATAATCCAAGCTACTTGGGAGCCTGAGGCAGGAGTTTCAAAAGTCTGAAGCCAACTTTTGGCAACTTCAGGACCCTATCTCAAAATAAAAAAAAAAAAAAAGATGGGGTGGGGTGGCTCAGTGGTAGAGCACTCGCCTAGCACTTGCGAGGCCTTGGGTTCAATACTCAGCACCACATAAAAATAAATAAAATAAAGGTATTGTGTCCAACTACAACACACACTCTCTCTCTCTCTCTCTCTCTCTCTCTCTCTCTCTCTCTCTCTATATATATATATATATATATACTTTTTTTTTTTTTAGGCTAGGGTGTTACTCAGTGGTAGAGCACCCCTGGGTTTAATCACCAGTACTAAAAAAAAAAAAAAGTATCATGAAGATAATTTAAAATTTATACAGTACACACCAGGCATAGTATATTGATCTGCAGTCTAAAATTTAATTAGGAAGCAGGCAGGATGGCACACGCCTATAATCCCAGTGGCTCAGGAGGCTGAGGCAGGAGGATTATAGGTTCAAAGCCAGCTTCATTCAGCAGCTTAGTGAGGCCCTAAGCAACTGAGCCAGACCCTGTTTCTAAATAAAAAACATAAAAAGGGCTGGGGATATGACTCAGTGGTTGAGCGTCCCTAGATTAAATCCTAAGTCCAAAAAAATACAGAGAATAACTCATGTATTATAAACGGATCTCAAGTGTGCAGCCCCAATAATTTTAACACAGTAAACACATTCATATAACTTGTCACCTAGGTGGAAACAGAGAACATTACCAGCACCCCAGAAGTTTCCCTCATCCTTTCACTGGTGTTTTCTATAATCACACAAAAGTTTGGCCAGTTTGAAACTCTAATGTCTTAAAAAGCGTTCATAATTTTTTAAAATATTTATTTATTTTTTAGTTGTAGTTGGGCACAATACCTTTATTTTTATGTGGTGCTGAGGATCGAACCCAGGGCCTTACGTGTACCAAGCCAGTGCTCTACCACTGAACCACAGCCCCAGCCCAAAAGGGTTAATAATTTTTCCAACTCATTTCTTTACTCAGATTCAACATGCTACAAATTGGGTTGGGGTTATGGCTCAGTGGTAGAGCGCTTGCCTAGCATGTGTGAGGCACTGAGTTCGAGTCTTAGCACCACATAAAAATAAATAAATAAATAAATATGCTACAAATTGATATAATTCTTTGATATATGAAGTAGTTTTTTGTTACACATTATAGTTTTTGTTATAATTAATACTGTAGGAACATTTTGAATTTTCGTTTTTTAGTTATGGATTATTGATGAAAAGAAGTGGAAACCTGGGAGAGTGGATCACACAGTTGGATGGCCCTTGGACAGGCATACCTACGGAGGCTCTTTCCTCTATCATTTAAATGAAGGTGAACCCCTCGTAGCTCTTGGTTTTGTGGTAAGTTATATCCCCATTACAGAAAAAAAATGGTAGAGTTATAGGATCATCAGTTTTGTAAAGCAAGGGTTTTGAATCGGGAAATATAAAATGCTTTTCATTTAAATCTTGTTTTTCAATTTTACCAATATGTAAAGTGCTTATCACTATCATAAAAATCAATGGACTTAGAAACACACATATAATAATAGCAGCTACTACATTCCAGGCACCATGCTAGACACTTTACTGATATTACTAACTTTCCTAAGAGTCCTGTGAAGTAAGCATATCCTTAGAGTTTATGAGAAAGCTGAAGTCCAAACAAGTTAAACGGTTTTTTCCAAGTACACCAAATGATGGAAGCAGGATTCATGCGTGAAGTTATCTGCCTTCAAAGCCCATTTCCACTATGGCATGCTGCCACCAAATATGAAATCAAACTGGATTTGAACCTACAACTTTTTAAAAATATAAGTAGCTTCTTCTTTCTTGACCACCTACATCTTTGCAGTAAATTACATCATGAACATTTCAAGGAAAAGAGAAGTAAGAGTTTCTATACTTTGCATCTGGTGGCAATCTTATAGTTTAGTGTCATGGGTAGGATTGTACATAACACATTGTTAAATTTATGCATATAGGGCTGGGGATGTGGCTCAAGCGGTAGCGTGCTCGCCTGGCATGAGTGCGGCCCGGGTTCGATCCTCAGCATCACATACAAAGATGTTGTGTCCGCCGAAAACTAAAAAATAAATATTAAAAAAATTCTCTCTCTCTCTCATCTCATCTCTCTCTCTTTAAAAAAAAAATAAAAATAAAAAAATAAATTTATGCATATAGGTGTTTTTACCTCTGGTCAAGTGTTCAGTGCATCACCTTTGGATATTGATTCTATTTATTTAATCTAACCAAAGAAAAACGGGGTAGTTAGTAATTCCAGCACTTTAGTAATGCCTTGTAAAATGTAACCTATATCCCTTATTCTTTTTTTACTAAATGTAGTTTACATCCTTTTTCTTCATTTTTACCCTAGTAGTACTGTAGTAGTGGATTATTAGTTGACTCCTAGAGTTGGTATTGATAAATGAATAATAAATAATTACAACTCCTTTTTTTTTTTTTTTTTTTTTTTTAAGAAATAAGACATGTATTTTTTTTTTTAAAGAGAGAGAGAGAGACAGAGAATTTTTAATATTTATTTTTTAGTTTTCGGCAGACACAACATCTTTGTTTGTATGTGGTGCTGAGGATCGAACCCGGGCCGCACGCATGCCAGGCGAGCGCGCTACCGCTTGAGCCACATCCCCAGCCCTACAACTCCTTTTGTAAAAGCATAATCTGAGATACCTATAGATATTTTTCATATTGGACTTTTATTTCCAGAGCAGTGATTTGTTAATATGCTCCAAATTTTTTAAGTTTTGCTGATTATAAACACATGGTAACCTTTTGTCTATGCTTTCTTTTCCACACAGATTTTATAATCACTTGTTTAAATTTGCATTATTGTATATGTTTCTACAGATACTTTGCATGTGAGAAATTTAACATATTTATTTGCTTATAAATAGTCAAATTTAAATGTACACATTTTAAGGTTGGTCTAGACTATCAAAATCCATACCTGAGTCCATTCAGAGAATTCCAAAGGTGGAAACACCATCCCAGCATTCAGCCAACATTGGAAGGTGGAAAAAGAATTGCCTATGGAGCCAGAGCTCTCAATGAAGGTGGCTTTCAGGTAACTCTTCCAATTGGTTTTTCCTTATTTATGTATTATCAATTCCAAATTGGTGTTTATAAAACCATGTACATGGTGATTAAATTGTATACTATGAATTTAATTTTAAGAATATGTTGATCTCTAGAGATTCATGAGGGTCTTGTCAGTTTATTGTCAACCACAAAGTGATAACTCTGTGACACATGATATTTCCATTGTCCTTAACTGCCAGGAAACTCGAAGGCAAATTTAATTTTCAGCAACCTTAATCTTAACCTTAACTCCCCTATTTTATATGTCTGAAATAAATCATTTCAAATATAGTTAATGTATCAATAATATACTAAACAATGAAATAAGATCTAGATGGCTGTGATTAAAACCATTATTATTATTGTGAAAATAGTATTAGACAAGTCAGATGCTCTAAAAACCAGCTCTAAAACTTACCAAATGATTTTGACCAAGTTAATTTCTCTGGCCATAAGGGATCGTATGTAAAAATAAAGATGATCCCTTCTGTCTCTAATGTTCTAAGAATCTAACACTATTTTGGAAACTGGATTTTTAAAATTTATTATAAAATAAACAGATAATAGAAAAATGGGAGAAGAGGGTTGGCTTAACCTTAAAATGAAGCTCTAAATGCTTTATTACTGTAACAATAATTGAAAAGTAAAATCATTATGTATATTATAAACATAATCACTAAAATCTTAACACTGTCTTTAAGTTCTGCTATGGGATTACTCTCATTAGGTGTTTTTGTTTCAGGAGTAGTAATTCATTTGCTAGACATATTTATTGATTTGCATAACTCTTTTCAAGCCTACTGAATTCCTTTAAATAATGTTCATATTGTCTATTAATCTAATTCTGCTGTGTAATTTATAATATAAAGATCTCAGTATACAAATTTTCATTTAAAAACATTGCCTAATGTACTTAAATATCTCAAATGATTTGCAGATTAGTAGAAAGCGATGACTACAAACAAGCACTTTTTACCTGAATATACTCACTTAATCAAAGATTCAAATACTTATTCCCACTAAGTTTTTGGAAAATCTTGAGAGACAGTAATTAGAAACATTGTATTAATTATTTTGAGCTAAGAAATATTGTCCAACATTTTTCAGCATGTCTTTTCCTTTGTCCCTCACTTCCTAACATGATGTCCAGCTTTCAGTAAAACTGCCCCCCAGGATAGTGTCCTCCCAGAACTTAAAAATAAACACATCCCGCCTCCACCCTGCTGTAACATTTTTGTTCATGGGATTTAAGCCCCCAGTTTCAAAGAACTTAAACTAACAATATATGTCCTTCACACGTTTCTAGCTCTTAAATAAGCATCAAAAAGGTCACCACCTCATTTAAGAAAAACATTGGCATTATCCAAGTCCCTAACCATTATCTGTTTTCAGCTGGTAGCATTCCAAAAAGCACTTTTTCTCCACTGCTTTGTGATCCTAATTCATTGCTATTCTGTGGTTCTAATATTGAGTTTGGTCTGAGGAACAGTCATGAATTTATTACCCACAAAAACTATGAAAGGTCTTGGGCTCTGATACTTACCTTTTACCAGCATTCCTTCTATCCATAAGTTTTGCTTCTTCCGTATCCTTAGACATTTGTCATTGATAGGAGGTATGACACAGAGCCTTCACCGTGTCGTAGTCTTTGGTTGGTTGGTTGGTACTGGGGATGCTTTACCACTGAGATACATCCCCAGGCCTTTTTATTTATTTATTTTTATTTTGATACAGCGTCTCACTAAGTTGTTGAGGCTGACCCCAAAATTTTTTGATTCTCCTGCCTCAGCTTCCCAAGTTACTAGAATTACAGGCATGTGCCACCATGCCAGACCTTACCATGTCTCTTTTGCAGCTGGTGGCAGTGGTTTCCCTGTTAACCACCTCTTCAAGTCTGTCTCAGCATTATTAGCCAAACTTTTACCACCTCATCACTTTCTCAACAAAAGCCCATGGCTTAATTTAGGAAGCCCTTGGAGAACAAAAATACAGAAAGGAAGAATAATTCTGCATTGGTTCTCTCTTTCCTTTTTAAACTATGGAGTACATTTTCCCATGTACCCATCATTATTTCAACTGCTACACTTGTGAGCAGCATATACTCTTCTGTTAACTAAACAGTCCCCTATTGACTAAAAATATTGCCACACTTTATTACATTATTCTTTTTTTAATCCATAATGTATACTGGCCAGGCATAGTAGTACATGCCTATATTCCCAGAGGGTCAAGAGGCTGAGGCAGGAGGATCTCAAATTCAAAGCCACCTTCAGAAACTTAGCAAGACCCTAGCCAATTTAAGTGAGACCCTGTCTCAAAATAAAAAAGGGTTGAGGATGTAGCTCAGTGGTAAATTGCCCCTGGTTTAGTCCCCAGTAAACCTCTCATCCCCACAGGTTAAAAAAAAAAAAAAAAAAAATATACTGGAGTTCAAATACGTGTCTTAAAATTTTGGAGGGCTGGGTTGTAGCTCAGTGGAAAAGTGCTTACCTATCATGGGAGGCACTGGGTTCGATTCTCAGCATCACATACAAATAAATAATATAAAGGCCCATCAACAACTAAAAATTATTTTTAAAAAAATTTTTTTAGAAATTCAGCTCATTAAGTTAATCAAAATATATTGTTTAGCCTAGCTGTAGTGCTAACATAATTATATCACAGATTTCCATCCCTAGATATCAAACTGAAATAAAAAGGATAAAAATTTCTTCTAAATCATGTATTTTCCCAGAATATATGTAAAAGCAAATCACAACTTAGAATGTAGTCATCCAGGTTTAAAGAACATTTATAACTGTGACATAGATATGTATAAATAAAATCATTTTAAAACATGTTTCTATCTTAAATCTGTCCTGAAAGGAAAGGAAAAACTTTTTAACAGAAAAACAGCAATAGTCCTAGTCCTCACTCTTAGGGAAGGCAAATGAAAACTGCCCTTGCTCTATTTCTTTACCTTCTTGCATTCATTTTCATTTATTTATTTTCAACCTTTCCCTATAGCTGTAGAAGTCTTTGGCGTGTTCAGTTTTGCCTAATTTGCTCTAACAGTATATTCTGAACCTTTTTTCCCCAGTCTATACCAAAACTCACCTTTCCTGGTGGTTTACTAATTGGTTGTAGCCCTGGCTTCTTGAATGTTCCCAAGATCAAAGGTACCCATACTGCAATGAAAAGTGGAAGTTTGGCAGCAGAATCAATTTTTAATCAACTAACTAGTGAAAATCTCCAATCAAAGACAATAGGTAAGAAATTCCTACTACAGGAAATAGTTTTGTCAGGTTATGTGTGTTATAGTTAACCTTAAAGATGTATACTGTATCTGTTCCTTTGTGAACAGTATTAAGGTATATGCTATACAAAAAATAATAATAATAATATATATATATATATATATATATATACACACACACACACACACATTCTTAGTACTTACTGTCAAGAGAACTTTAAAACAATGTTGTTTTCTTCATATCAAAAGTATAATAATTATCAGGCATGGTGGTATATGCCTGTAATCCCAGCAACTCTAGAGGCTGAAGGAGTATACCAAGTTTGAGGCCAACCTCCACAATTTAGCAAGCCTTGTCTCAAAATAAAAATAAAAAGTGAGGATGCACTCAATGGTAGAGTGCCCCTGGGCTTAGTCTCCTATGTAGCAAAAAAAAAAAAAAAAAATAGTACCAGTGGTGTCCCCAGAATCTATTCCAGGTTTGACAATACTGCATTTACACTGCATACATGTAAGGCACACACTACTAACGCACAAATACCAGCGTGCATTCCTTAGAAAACACTGAAAGCACAGGCATATATATGACCCTTCTAATGTAGTAGAGAAGAACAGCCAGCACTCACACCTCAGTAAACCCTTTATCTAAATAGACCCTCAAGGGATTCTGTTTTTCTCAAAACCAAAGTTACCCTGCCCCTCTAACTTCACCTTTTATCACTCTCCATTCCAGCCACATGGGCCTCTTTGTAATTCCTGAAACATGCCATGCTTGCTCTTATCTTAAGGTCTTTGCTCATAACTTGCTCCCTCATTCATCCTTTACCTTTGTTCAAACTTCACTCTAGTGACCCTCTCTTGCCCACAACAGTTAATCTGCAATATGTAGCACTCCCATCCCCACCCCCAACACTTTTCTTCAGCATTTCCCACCTTTTGGCATACTATATCATTTACTTATTTATACTTTTTACACTTTCCACTTAGATGAAAACTCCAAGAGAGCAAGGACTTCGTTCATTTTGAATCCTAAAGACCTGGCACCCAGTACAGTAACTGGATAACTTGATAATAGCTTTATTCCTTAAAATCACAGATAACAAATGTTCCATGAGTTAGAATTAACACAACTTGGGGGATGGGAGGTTACAGTTCAGTGGTAGAGTAATTACCTAGCATGAACACTGTAGAAAATTAAAAACTATGCAGCTTGGTTATGCCTTCAAATGTCTTTGTAGGAATGGAGGCCTTGCATGTGGGAGTGGAAGGGGATGAGGTACAACACAGAAAAGTTAAGTCAGAAATGGAATGGTTGGGTAGAAATTTTTCCTAATGTTTTTGTCAAGTATTGTTCCTTATTGGACCACCAGCCATACTTCAACTGTATCATATACCCATAATACCAAACATAGTACTAGAGCCTGTGTATCACAAAAGGCAAGGAATAAAGCCTGTGAGAAAAGGGAGTGAAGCGAGGACAGGAAACAATAACTGAAAAAAGCATAGTCACTGTGGAGTTCATGAAAGACAATGAGAAGAATCAATTGTCTTCTTAAATCCTAAAAGTAGTGTACCATATTTTAGGTATTACAATTTCCTAGAGCTACCATAGCAAAGTACCCTAAACTAGGTAACTTAAAACAACAATTTATTCTTTCCAAGTTCTGTAAGCTAGAAGCACAAAATCAAGGATTAACAGGAATATTGCCTATCTGAAGTCTCTGTAGAGGAATCTTATCTTGCCTTCCCAATTTCTGGTAGCCTTAAACATTCCTTGGCTTCTGGCAATTTAGTCTCTGTCTCCATCTTTTTAAAAGAACACTGGTCATATTGGATTAGGGACCCATTCTACTCCAGGAAGCCTTAATTACATCTGGAACCACGCTATTATAAAGTGAAAGTCTTAAATTTTGGAGTTTAGGACTTCAAAATACATTTTCACATGGAAATATTTCAATCCAGACACAGTTGGTATTTTCCGTGATGAACTATAGAAATTTTCACTTACAGGTAGCATGAACTTTTTAAGTTTTCTTCTCAGTTTTGCTGAATTTTCAAACTAATTTTCTTTACTACCAGTGTTAAGTATTCAGGGTTGGGACTGTAGCTCAATTGTAGAGTACTTGCCTGTCATAAGCAAAGACCTGGATTTGATCCCCAGCACCCACAAACAATAATAATAAAAAGCAAATGTTTACTGTCAACAAACATGTATATCAAATTATTATCTTTTGGGAAGATTCCAACATTTAAAAATTACTTATGACTTACTAATCAGATATTTCATTATCAAAATACCTTAATAGAGTATTTTATGCAGCTTAAGGCTGTTTTACAGTTAACATTTCATGTTTTTCATGAAAGGACTCCATGTAACCGAGTATGAGGACAATTTGAAGAAATCTTGGGTGTGGAAAGAGCTGTATTCTGTTAGAAATATAAGACCTTCCTGCCATGGAGCATTGGGTTTATATGGAGGGATGATTTACACTGGAATATTTTACTGGATATTGAGAGGAATGGAACCATGGACCCTAAAACATAAAGGTAATTCAAACATTTTAAATGTCAATGTTATAATCTTTAAAAGCTTATAAATGGGATCTATTAATTAATGGAGAAAAAGACCTTATCTTTTCATGTTTTATAAGCTTGCTTGCTTAGAGAAATTATAATTGCTGTCTTTCTTTTTTTTTTTTTTTTTAATATTTTTTTTAGTTGTAGATGGACACAACATCTTTATTTTATTTTTATGTGGTGCCGAGGATCAAACCCAATGCCTCACATGTGCTAGGCAAGCGCTCTACCACTGAGCTAGAACCCCAGATCAATCACAATTAATTCTTAAGATTCTTTTTTTTTTAAGAGAGAGAGAGAGAGACAGAATTTTAATATTTGGGTTTTTTTTAGTTATTGGCGGACACAACATCTTTGTTTGTATGTGGTGCTGAGGATCGAACGCGGGCCGCACGCATGCCAGGCAAGCGCGCTACCGCTTGAGCCACATCCCCAGCCCCATAATTGCTGTCTTTCAAAGATCTGTAACTAGAGGATTAAAGCCATATTTCTTTGGCGTATTTTCAGGTTTTTATAATGTTAAGAAAGTACTTGAGGGTGAGAAGGGGTGCAGTTCAGTGTTAAGAACACTTGCCTACCTTGTACAAGGCACTGATGAAGAGGTAGAAATGTAGGGAGGGTTGGAGATAAAGCTCAGTGGTAGAGGGTGTGCTTAGCCTGGGTTCAATCCCCAGCATCAAAAAACATACATATACTTGAAAACTGTTGTTATGTTAAACATTTTTCTGAAAATTGTTGAAGGTTCTGATTCTGATCAGCTTAAGCCAGCCAAAGATTGCACACCTATTGAATATCCAAAACCTGATGGACAGATCAGTTTTGATCTCTTGTCATCTGTGGCTTTAAGTGGTACTAATCATGAACATGACCAGCCAGCACATTTAACTTTAAAGGATGACAGCATACCTGTAAACAGAAATCTATCAATATATGATGGGCCTGAGCAGCGATTCTGCCCTGCAGGTAATAATTTCCTTCCATTCCTAAATATTAATAGATATCTGCTTCAAATATTTTAGAAATGATTCCATTTAGGAATTATTTATTTCCATTGCTTGGAGATTGTTGTTATGACCACTATATTCAGCTCTTTTTAGGAAATTCATACCTAAATGAGTTTGCAATTAGCATTAATAGTTAACAATGATAAAATAATAGGGAATTTTGGTTAAACCTAATTCAGATGACATTTCTCCAGAAATGTCAGACCAAGATAAGGATTATGGAACACAAAATAACCACCTCTGCTCTTGTAACAAAGAACAGTTATTAAAAAGTTACTTTTGTCATGGAAGCTCCTGTGTGCACACACATGCTAGAGTAGGTTACTGAGTTCAAGAGTGGTCCTAAACTTTAAATTCACCATGAATATGATATCTTCTTACTGCTTTCAGCTAAGATTAAACTAATCCAAACCAGGTCTCAAATGCTATGGTAGAACCAACAGTATACAGATATGTGAAAATAAATACATTCTCAAGTGAAATTAGAATGTAAGCAAGCCCTTCGAATGCAAGGACCTTTTTTAGACTTTTTTTTTTTTTTTTTAAGAAATCAGGTTATCACTGTGGGGTTATAAACTCCCTGAGGACAAGAGGTGGATTTCTTTTATTAGCTATAGCATGGGTGTGTGTGCGTTTGTGTACCTCAAAGATGGCTAAGTACCAAAGACCCTTGTTAGACTCACCCAGTCAGTACTGCTCTACTTCATTTTATTATATACATTTATAAACTAACAGCAGCCTGCAGCACACACCAAGATTGTCATTATATAATGACAGAAAACAACTTCTAAGGTTTCTGTAGATGAGGATTTTTAATTCTACTGTTGATCAGGGCATGGTGACATACCCCTGTTATACTAGCTACTCAGGAGGCTGAGGAAAGAAGATCACAAGTTCAAAACCAGTCTAGGCAACTTAGCAAGACCATGTCAAAATTTAAAAAAAAAGAAAAATTTAAAGTGCTAAGGATATACCGCTTAGAGAGTGCTCGTCAAGCATATGCAAGGCCCAAGGTTTAATCCCTAGTACCACCCCATTAACATTATTCATTTTTACTTTCAGGAGTTTATGAATTTGTACCTTTGGAACAAGGTGATGGATTTCGGTTACAGATAAATGCTCAGAACTGTGTGCACTGTAAAACATGTGATATTAAAGATCCAAGTCAGAATATTAACTGGGTGGTGCCCGAAGGTGGAGGAGGACCAGCTTATAATGGAATGTAAACTGCAATTTATTTCATTTCAGGCACATTTACATTTAAAATGTATAGCAAACTAACATTAAAATATTTAGAAGTTAACAAGTATCCTTCACAAAATAACTATTGGTGAAATTAATGTTTTATATCTATGTAAAATTATCCCATAAAAATTATGAAACATTTTCCTCTTACAATAAAACTAAAAATTATGTAGCATTTACTTACCTCTTTGATTGTTCAAGATTTCAGCACCAACAGCAAAATGCCTTATTGGGCTTTACTATACAGTTGATTTACCAAATTTAAATCTTCAAATATAAAAATGAATATACATTCTAGACCAGGGATTAGCATCTAACTCAGCACTTACTATGAATAAAGTTTTACTGAACCAGCCATGCCCATCGGTTATACACTGTCTTGAGTTATAACTACAGAACTGAGTAATTGTGACAGACTAGATGGTGACTGTAAAAATTTTACTATCTGGCCCTTCACAGAAAAACTGCCAAATCCTATGTGTCATCTCTAAGCATAAAACACCAGTACAAACTTACCACATAATGTATAAGGATTGAGGGAAACAATATACAAACAAGTGTTCATCAATTCATTCAACAAGATATAACTTAAGGAGTTTGAAAGCAAACTGGAGGTATGGAGTTGTGGCTTAGAGGTAGAATGCTTGTCTACCATGTGTGAGGCACTAGATTCGATCCTCAATACAACATAAAAATAAAATAAAGATTGTATCCACCTATAACTAAAATATAAATACTAAAAAAAAACGCAAACTGCACACCATTCTTTGTGAAAGTACAGATAGAATTTTTAAATCAACTTCACTGTATTTTTTGCCACTTTTTATTAACAGGGAACCTGTATCAGTATTTTAAAGTGTAAACAATGAAGAACTGAAATGTCAAAGGAATCACATTAGCAATCACATACAGACAATAACTCTTACATTGTCTTATTGCCTTTATACAATAAATGCATAATATTTAAGCAAAATTGAATCCTTTCTAAGCAAACATTTTTGCATATACTGCCTTCTCTTTATCTTTCTCTGCCTTTATCTTCTGTTTGACTTTCAGCAATTCTGCCTGGATGGCTGCAAAAAAATAGGCAATGAGTTATTTCTCAAAACAAAAAGATTAGGATGACCAACAAACGATTATAATATCACAACTCCTCCTCCCCATTGACAAAACTTTTCTTCTGGATAAAATAACAACCCTATTAACAGAAAACTCTATTCCAAGAAAGCAGAGTTCACAACAACCCTGAAGCATAATTTCAGAAGACTGCCAACTGAGAGAACTCAATCACATCAATACTTGTTTCTCCATCTCCATTAGAGAGAGTAGTAACTACCTTGTTTTATTTTAGCAACAAGGGACCAAAGAGATAAATATTTAGATCTGGTGTTGCTATTCACTTTTGGCTTATTTTAAAGAAATAGATTTATTTGTCATAGCTTTTCCAAAACATATCCAGTATCTAGAATACTAGATTACTGCCATGAAGGAATGGCCCCAAAAATTAGATTTACAATGAATACTATACTTGAGTATTGACCTTTCAAAGAGTGTCACAGTAACAAAACAGGATCTCAAGTGATAAGGCAGAACAAACCATATTAAGTGCACTGTGAAAAACTAGTGCATTCTTGAGAGGAATGAAAACAAGCTCTATCAGGGGAGGACCTTGTCTTATTCACTGATATACATGGCCCAGTAACAGTCATTCTGTAAGATCCACTGAACAAATGCCTGATATCTGCCAAAGTTAAGAGTACAACAGTTCATGAGCATAATTTTAAAGTGCAAAATGAACTTTGACTACAAAAACAGCCAACCTACCTTTATCTTCTGGTGCTATCTCCTGAGCTTTCTTAAGATCAGCCTTTAATTGAAAAAAAAAAAGTTGTGAAAAATTAAGATCTAATTTACAAAGGTGACTGTTTATTGTAAAACATTTGAAACAAAATTTACCAGTGCCTGATCGTATTCTTTTAATCCTTGCCATCCTTGAGCTCTTCGATACAGTGCTTTAGTATTTGATGGGTCCATTTCAAGAGCCTACAAAATTTAAAAATTATATCTATCTAAATAAATACATTTTTCAGATTCATTTATTGCCTGACACCTTCAAATCCACTTCAGCTGAAGAGTATGAACAGCTCTCTTTTGCCAGTTGGCACAGTGTGACAATTTGTCAGCAGAGGGCACTATATGGAGGAAGAAGGTGTTTCTTGTCCATATCTTTAACATGCTCCTCAGCACTGTGGTTTCTCTCTCTCCAGACTCAGTCCTAACTAATGTATTTATAAAAGAAAACACTGTAAATGAAAGTTTGTAAGTTGTCCCTTAGTGTCTCTGGAATAGTTCCAGGACAGCTCAACTCACCCCCTGCAAATTAAATCTGGAGATATTTAAATTTTTAATATAAATGGTTCAGTATTTGCATATAATAACCTATACCTTTCCTCCCATATATTTAAAAGTCTTCACATGTTTAGTACAAAAGAAATCTTCAGTCTGAGGCTGGATGAATCTTAGAATATGGAATCCATGGATACAGAGGGCCAACTATACATGCTTTTAATTGAAATCTAAATTTCTTGGGAACATGAGTAACTTTATAAAGATCTTTTCACTAAAATAAGTATTTTTAAATTAACATTCTATTTATATATTTTAAAAGCCAATAATCACAGATTTACTGAAAAGGAAACATCTGCCTCACAAGTTATGGAGACCCAGAGTAAAGATCAATTTTTTCTTTTTTAAGTTTTTTCCTCTGTTCCCTTCTAAATATATTCTAGGACTGGGGGTATGGGGGTATACACTGCTAGAACACTTGCCTTACATGAGTAAGAGTCTTAGATTTGATCCCAAAACTGTAAATATATTTTCTTATCCTCTATTCACCTATCCTAAGCAGATTTTTTTTTTTTTTTTTTTAATGTAGCAGTGTTGGGATTCAACCCAGGGCCTCATGAATGAATGCTAGGCAAGTGTTCTACAACTTAACTACACCCCTAGTATAGAATCTCATTTCAGTTCTATAGCTAATCTATAGCTTAGTGGGCAAAAATCAACAACATTTAGTTTGGAAATACTTTCAAACAACTATATAACAGGAAAGAGAGTCATAATCGATCTATTTTGAGAAAGGTAATGCTTTCTAGTTTTATCAGTTAATGTAACTGGATAGCCCTCATAAAGACAAATGACCTTTCTGTGTGTTCCAAATAGTACACATTCTCCCATACAAGGTGTGATGACCCTAAATAGAAACTGGCCCCCTCCTAAATTAAATCTATTAAGTTTCTTGGAAATATGAATCTTGTAATTAAAAACAAACTAAATTCACTGGGTACATAAAATTTGCCAAGCACAGTGCTAAGTACTTAAAACTTGCTTTATGATCTTTTACAACCATCCCATCTGGTAGGTATTATTTTCAATTTATAGAAAACAAAATTCAGATTCTATAAAAATTAGGAATCTATATAAGATCACAAAATTAGCTGAATGGCAGAGGTCTAATTTGAAAAACCATGCTGGGTGGGGCTGGAGTTGTGGCTCAGCAGTACAGAGCTCAACAAGCATGTGCGAGGCGCTGGGTTTGATCCTCAGCACCACAAAAATAAATAAATAAATAGGGGCACTGTGTCCAACTACAACTAAAAAATTATTTTAAAATAAATAAATAAAGGGCTGGGCATGTGGCTCAAGTGGTAGCGCGCTCGCCTGGCATGTGTGCGGCCCGGGTTCGGTCCTCAGCACCACATACAAACAAAGATGTTGTGTCCGCCGAAAACTAAAAAAAATAAATAAATATTTAAAAAATAAATTAAATAAAATTAAATAAATAAAACCATGCTGGGACTGGGGGTGGAGTTCAATGGTAAAGGCACTGGGGGTGTGGCATGCCTAACTCCACAACCCACATACCTAGTCATTCCTAACTTTGTGTTCCAATGCTTAGCATATAATAGGTGCTCTCAAATGAATACATGAACTGACAAATGCTTTAAGAGAAAAATAGGAAAGTCTTTCAAAGATATTAAGTACACAGGATTAAAAAGCAAAATGAGGGGCTAGGCTTGTGGCTCAGTGGTAGGGTGCTTATCTAGCACATGTGAAGCACTGAGTTCGATCCTCAGCACCACATACAAATAAATAAAGGTATTGTGTCCATCTACAACTAAAAAATTTTTTTAATTTATTTAAAAAAAGCAAAATGAATGGATTGAAAGGAAGTTCTGAAGGTCCAAAATATTTAGAGACAATATGCAATAAGACATATTCAGATATGTAAAAAGTAGTTTTGTTCAAGTTGGTAAGCCAAAATCCCTCTCCTTCAAAAAGTTCAATATTACAGAGTTACCTCTAAACAACTGTCAACTGCTCCCTGCCAATTTGACATCTTCAGTTTACAAGCACCAATATTCAGCACACAGCTTAAGGCTATAGACTGCAGCCTAGATCCATCTGCTTTCTCAATAACAGCCTTTGAACTATCCACATATCTGGAAAAAAAAATTAATAAAAGCAATATGTAATTCCACACAAACAAGACTTACTCAACTACTTCAAAAATACCAAAAAATGTTACATCATTTCTGATATAAAAAGCAGATACTAGGGCTGGGGTTGTGGCTCAGAGTTAGAGCGCTCGCCTACCATGCGTGAGGCACCAGGTTCGATCCTCAGCACCACATAAAAATAAAGACATTGTGTCCATCTAAAACTAAAAAGTAAATATTTAAAAAAAAAAAAAAAAGCAGATACTAATTTAATATCCAATCTTCACAATCTTCTTATTAAACATTTTTTTATTTTTATTTTTTGTTACGGGCCAGAGACTGAACCCAGGGACTCGAGCACCCTAATAAACACACAGTCTACCACTGAGTTCTACTCCCATACCCATTATTTTTCTTTTGAAGGTCATTTTCTTTGAGGTATTTTTATTTCCTAAAACATTTTTTCCCAAAGTGTTCAAAAAGAACAAACAATTCCCAGGAGCCAGGCATGGTGGCACACACCTGTCAATTCCAGCAACTCAGGAGGCTGAGGCAGAAGGATGCCAATTCAAGATAAGGCTCAGCAACTTATCAAAGCCCTAAGCAACTTAGCAATGCTTGTTTGAAAATAAAAAATAAAAAAGCCAGGGATTTAGCTCAGTGGTATAACACCCTTGTGTTCAACCCCCAGTTTAAAAAAAAAAAAAAAAATTTCCCAAATCAATTGTGCAGTAGTAGTAACACACCTCTAAGTTAAAACTCAGGTCCCATTAGGTACTTTCCAATGTAATTGTATTTGGAACCAGGAAGGTACCAGAGGGTACTGACTGGCAAAAGGTGAAGAACAACCATGTAG